ATAAGAACACTGTCAATAAAAACCATTGAGAATGGCTACTTTTACAGGAAAATAAAATGCACTTGACATTTAAGATCATGAAACTGTACCTCTTGAAAAATATTGCAATGAATATTTTGCCTAGGTAAGCAAGGCAAAACACTGTTATATAGAATGTGTTAAAAGGAAATACAAGTTTAAGTTATGAAGAGAAACACATACAAGGGTCCACTGGTAATGACAAGTATAAACTTGAATCAGTGTTTTTGGTCCAGAAATCATATGCACAACTCATTTTATACATATATATATATGTATGTATATACATGTGTGCATGTGTGTGTGTACATGTGTGTAGTTTTATCTTTCAATGAAAACATTTAATCTCCAAAGTGGCATGTTTTGATTACTGGTTAACTAATGAAGTATAACCTCCCACACTCAATTCTTGACTCAACAACAAAGACAAAATTTCCAGACATTAAAAGTAAGCACAACCACATTTATTGGAAGAAAATTAACTGAGAATTCTTATTTTCCTCAGGAAAGACTCTTTAATCCAGAAGTGCAGGCCTCAAACTTAAATTAAAAAGTAGATTACTAGAAATAAGAATAGTTCATTGCTGTGGAAAGACTGTAAGGAAAATATCAGTCCTGATAAATACAGTCAAACTAATTGCTGGCACATAAATCAGCAGTTTGTTTCATATTGAGAAGTGGCCATTAATGAGTTTTAATTACTAACCAGTTATGATGGACCTAAAGTAGTGACTAGACAAGAAATTAATAACAATTTACAAATCCTGATTTCGTAACCATATATTTGGTAAATAAATAGCAGTAATAGTGTAATAAATTCTGCAAAATACACTGCATATTCACTGAAAGCAACTATTACTTGGATGGCAATTCTGAGTTACTTAAAAGAGGTTACTACCAATACTTTTGGAATGAAACATTTGTTAATTAGAATATCAAAAATGCTAGGACAGGTTCTCAAATAGGAAAAACAGTATAAGTATCTATTATTTTGTTTTATGAAATAGAAAACTAAGAGACTTAAATCATGAGCTATAGCACTAAGCCTTGCAATATGATCATAAAAAGGATCTAGTTAGCTAAATAAGCTTCTACCTAAACTATCTCTCGATGTCCTGACTTTTACTTGACAGTTTCAAAGGAAAGAAGCAGAATCACTCAGCATATCCTCATTCAACACTGTACTGCCCAACATCAGGTATTTCATTTTAAAGCTATCATCATCATCATCATGGCTAGGCTTCACGAATGAAGATTTGGGAAAGGCTCTATCCACATTTGTTACAAGCATGCTGGTGGCTAAGGAAAGCATAGAGTAAAGCCAAGTAAGTGAAAAAGAGCAAATACTGAGAAGGTACTAATAAAAGCTATACTAATTCAAATGCATGTTATAAGGAAGCAAATATGGACATTTTTCTGTATATATCAGCACAAAAAAGGCAAACTGCAAATAGTATTTGATATATTGCTTTGTTTAAAACAAAACTTTATCATTTTTAATACGAATCCATTGCACATTACCTGCATATTCATAAAACCAAGCCAGGCACTTTTTGCTTGAAAAATGTTCCTCTCCACCTATTAATTTACCAGACGCTTGTGATCTGTAGTAGCATATAGAAACACAAGATGAACAGCATTATTTTAACGAGACTTGGGAAAAAATGTAAAATTAAATTCCTAAATGTTTATTATTAATTCAAACTATTTAAATTGTTTCACAAAGTCCATATACATAAACAATGAAGCTGAATATGATAGAGGGCAACTGTCTGTCATCCTATTTTAAAACCTGGAACACAAAACTACCTTGAAATGCAACCACTTCATAACCCAATTTATTGCAACTATTACTTTTTCTGAAATGCAAGAGTACTGTTATCTTGTAGATATTAAACAAAAAACTCCACACACAGATGGCCAGAATATCACTCCTCAGTAATTAAAATGCCTTATTATCTGCTTATATTTATACATACAGGCATTTAAAGTTAGGTCTCTAATAAGCAGCATGATCTTCAAGAGCGCTGAAGGTCAATAGGAGCTGCAGAGTTTGACATATTTAAAAGTCAGCCTATTTATAGTTAAGCATTGAAATTTGGGATGAAAACTTGATTGATTTGTTTACACTAAACATGTAACTAAGTACCTGTAAATTCTATAGATGTCTGGTACATATACCAGAACAGTAGTGTGCAATCTGTGTTAAGACTGAAGCTGCTCACCACACACAGCTTCCCCACTACATTGCCTTCATTATGTAACATACAACCCAGTTTGCCTAGGAAGTGAATTTTCATAATTCATCATTCATTAAAAGATGCACAGAATAACTGATCTACTCCACTAAAAACACTGACCACACAAAAGCATCTTTAGTCAGTAAGGAGTTTCAGCACCTTTCCAACACATGCTCTTACAAAACACTAGTTACAGACTTCTAGAACAAGCTCAGATTATTTCTAACGATGAGATGAGAGTTAATCATATGAGAGGATTTAAAATTATGCAGCTCCCACATTGCAATTTTAAAATTAAGACATCAAGCAGTAAAATAACAGTTCAATTCTGTTGAACTGGGGTGACCAACTTTAACTCCTTTAAACTGTATAGCTTTAAGCTTCACTGGAAAAGAAAGCAACGCTCTCCAAGATGAAGCCTTCTGTGCTGAAAGCTAGAATTAAAGGTGTCCTACAAACATCCATCCAACTGCCACTGGGAACACAAGTCACCAGAAAGAAACAGTCATACATATGCTATTGCTTATTGGCTTTATACAGGTTAACACAGATCTATTTGTAATCTCTGCTTTTACTAAAGAATAAACCAATAAATCGCTGTATAAGAACGTAATGACAAAAATGCTTGTGTATCTAACATTTTGTGATCAGCTAGCATGAACTCTCATTTACATCATAGTTTTTGCCCAACAACTGCCAGCTTCCTGTAGAATCTTTTTTTTTTAAGGAGCTATCAAAAGATTTTTTCTTTTTAAGTAAAAGATATTAAGATCATAAAATTTTGGTTAAAAGCGTTCAAGAAAGATGAACTGAAACTGAACACATGCAGAGAAGACCTATGATAAGCAAGGAAACTGAAAGTCGGTATTACAAACCAGAATAATTTAACTTGTTTTTAGGTTGTAGTTGAACAAAATAAAGTAAGAAAAAACCAGAAGCACTCCCTCCAAATGCACTCAGAGGCAGAATCATGAGGGAGGAGTGTTGCATAGAACAGAATGCTGGCACAAGAATAGTTATTAACTGGCTATGAATAAACTGACTGAAACTAAAAGGTCACTAATGACCACAGAAAGCGAGTTCTGCAATAGTCATCCAAAACGAACAGTCATAACAAAATGAGAGCCTGGGTACTTCTAAGATCAAGCTCAGTCAACCTGTGAGAAAGGCCATACACCACAGTTTCTTGCAGTAGCCATTCCTGCAGCATTGATTTCGTAAGTCCTTTTTATCCTTAGGGCTTCACCACATTATTCCTAACTACTGGTTTACTGATACATTTAACAAGGTCTAACAGATGAAGCAGGCTAACAGTTACTTTACAGAAGCCACATTGTAAAGCTCCTGCTACACCACACTAATGCCTTATAATTTTAACAGTATCTTTCGGGTATCATGGCATAAAGTAGCCTCTTAAAAATAGTTAAGAGACAGGATGCTTCAGACTTCTGTATTTATTAGAGAAATTTTTCCTGCTTTTCTTTTCGAGAGTGCTGACCTATCCTTCCAATTCACTGCAAAAAAAACCCACAAACAAAAAACAAACAAACAGCCCCCCAAAACACACACACACGCAAAAAAAGAAGAAAAAAAGGACGATTTAACGCAAACACTCTGACCACTAGCAAACGTAAAACGAGTGGCGACCGTAAAGTGAGGAGAGCCGCCTACCTCAGGGAAATAGAATGGATATGGGGTCAAATGTCAGCACTGACCCTACAGGTACAGCCCAAGGCAAAGCCAGCCGGGAATTGGGGCCGTTCCGGGTCGTGCACAGGCCGCACGCCGCGCCCCGCACCTGCAGGGCCCGCGCCAGGACGTGCCCGGCGGCACGGCCCAGGCCCTGCGCGGGGCCCGCGGGCCGCACACGCCTTACCGCGCCCGCCGCCCCGGGAAACCCCGGCGGTGCCGCAGCCCGGGCCCCGCGGGAGAGCGGCCCAGCCCCGCGGCCGCCGGCACCGGCGGCCGCAACGCGAGACGGTACCTGCCGAGTTTACACTTCTTGAGGCTGGTGTCGTCCGCCGCTGCCGCCCCCGAGGACTTCCTCTTCTTCTTCACCGGCATCGTCCTGCCTCGGGGCGGGGCCGCCCCGCTACCGGGGCCCGCGGCCGAGGCCCCCCCGGGCTCACTTCCCCGGCCGCCGCCGCCTCCCGAGACCGGCGGTGGAGAGACGAGAGGAGCCCCCGTCCCGCTCTGCTCCCGCTGCTGCTCCTGCCCAGCCCCTCCGGGCGCTGCCAACCCCGCTCGGTGCGGGCAGACACCGCCGCCGCCGCCCCGGTGCGAGAAGCGGGTGTCGCGCTAGGGGCGAGCACGGGGAGCGAGAGCGAGGAACGGGCGATATCGGCTGCAGAGCGAACAGCGAGAACGACCCGGACACAGACGGCGCCGGGCAGGAAGTGGCAGCGCCGCGGGGCGGGGCCGCGCCGGGACCCGCCCCCGAGGGCGGGGCTGCCGCACGCCCTTCCCCCCTGCAGCAGGGGCAGCTCGGGAGCTGTGAGCAGGGGGCGGTGGGGCTGGCCTGGGTCAGGTCGGTGTGCCCCTTACAGCTGAGAGTTTGCGGTGACATAAACGGGACAGCGCGAACCCTGCGTTAGTCACCAGGGACCAAGGGGTGCCGCGAGGTCCCAGCCCGCCCGCGGGCCCGTGGGGACGCCGGGTGGGCAGCGCTGAGATCGGGCGCGGGGCTGCGGCAGCCGCCTGCTGAGAGGTGCGGGCGGCGGCCGAGCCCAAGGACAGCTGTTGGGGGAGACCCTCTCTCGCCTGGACAACCCCCTGGAGAAGCAGCTGTGAGCGCGGATCAGGGCGTTGATCGCTACGCCCGCGCTGACCCACGAAACCACGGGCATACAAGCCTGGGCTCCCGGTGGGGGTCGCACGGATCCCTAACGGAGCGGGAAGGGCTGTGGGAGGGTGAAACACCCCAAGTACTGCGGCGGCCGTGACACCGTGACGCAGCTGATGGCAGGAGAGGCGCTTCGGTGAACCCAGAGGAAAGCCCGGCAGCACCTGTGGGCTGCTGCTGCGGTGGCGGGACGAGCGTGGGCCTTTCTCCGCCTCCGCCCCTCTCCGCCCACTGTGCCCGCCGACCGCGTCACCGCCGCCTCCATCCCTCCCTCTCTCCCGCCCCTCCGCGGGCAGCGGCCCTTGCCGGGCGCCACTCGGCCCGACCCCGCCTGCGCGCTGGGGCCGCCATCTTCGGTCACCATAGTGACGGCTCCCGGGGACGCCAGTACGCTCCGGGCCTCTCCTCCTGCGCTCCGCCGTCCTTCCCGCCAGCTCTTCCTCCCGCCAGTCCCTCCATGTGCTCCCGAGGGGCTCTGGATCCGCCTTTGCCTTGATCCTGCCTGACAGGGTGCGCCCGGCAAGCATGGCCGGGGAAGGAGACCCGAGGAAGCGCTTTATCTCAGCCACGGCTGCGAACTACTTCGGGCTGGATCCGGCGGGCTGTGCTGCCCTGGCGGCGGGGCTCCACTCCCGTCCGGAGCTGAGCAGCTTCCTCGACGACGGCAACGAATTCCTGCTCGTGGTACAGCACTCGGGCGCGCAGCTCACCACCTCCAATAAGGTACCGTAGTGTGCGGCATGGCCGGGTCCCGCGTGTCCACCGCATCCCGGCGTGCGATTGGGAACGCAGAGCCCGCAGTCATCCCAGGCTTACTGGCCGTAAAGACTGGTATCAGATTTGGGAGACACCTCCCTACTGCGAATATCTGTGCGGGTCTCTGTGTCTGCAAGTTACTGGCGGCTGCCGTGTTTTAACCCCGGTCGGCTGCTAAGTACCACTGAGTGGCCCCCACCCCGCAGTGGAGAGGAGAATCGGAAAGAAAAGGTTAAACCCCTTTTGGGGGTTGAGATAAGAACAACGAAGTAAAATATAATAAAAACAATATAATAATAACCCACTACTAATATGCTAGTAATAGTGTTAATAATTGTAATGAAAAGGGGCGAGAGAGCCCAAGTAGAATAAGCGATGTAAAAATATAGTTGTTCACCACCCATGTCCAGCCCATTCCCCAGCAGTGATTGCTGCCTCCTGGCCAACTCCCCTCAGTCTATATACTAAGCATGACAGTCTGTGGTATGGAATATTCCTCTGGTCAGTTCGGTTCAGCTGTCCTGGCCATGCTCCTTCCCAGCTTCCTGTGCACCTCCTCACTGGCAGTGCACGAGGGACTAAAAATTCCTTGACTTCGGGTAATCATTGCTCAGCAACAACCAACATATCAGTGTGTTATTCTCATTCTAAACCCAAAATGCAGCACTGCCCCAGGTACTAAGAAGAAAATTAACTTTATCCCAGCTAAGACCAAGACTCTGGCCCAAGAGTCTGTGAAGACCATATGGTTAGCCGGTGATATGTTTTTCTGTGGATCGTGCCCATGCTGATGCAGTTTTAGTGTGCTGTATATTGTCGCTGTGTGAATGTAATGCAGCCCGGAAGATGGCATGTTATCTTAATGCAAATGTCAGGTGGAATCTGCTGTATGATTTCTTCCTGGTCCTGGGTGTATGGAAGGATTGTGTGGCCAATGTCCATGCAGGGAATGTGACCCAGTATATGGCACAATGACTGATATTTGACAAGTCCCAAGGTGGATGTTTGTCAAAAGCATGCATTTTTCAAACTGATATGTCCGTCTGTGAGCAAATCTTAGGTTGATTGTGTGAAATATCCTGCCTTGAGTGTTTGTGTTCAGCGAGTGACTCATCTGAGTGATACCATGGGGTGTGATGTGCGCTCATTGTCACTATATAATCAGACCATGGTGCAGTGCCTGCTGCACAGAGTGTACAGGCAAAATGTGGGTCTTGGCATGTGTCCTGTCGTTCTGCTGTGAGACCAGGGATGTGGTGTCCATTATGTCAGTGCAGATCTTTTCTGCACTGAAGATGAGTGTAACGTGTCCTTAACATGCAAATTGTGGACCAGTAACTTACGTGCCTCTTTGGTTAAGACTAGTGGATTCTATATTCAGGCAAAAGTGAACATTTATGTGTACCAATTTTGGGGGTTTGCTGCTGAGCCACTGTCTAAAATACAAGGCAGCTTTCAGCAACTGTGGGAGATCAGATTCATATCAGTGCTACACTGCATACCTGTTATCTCAGTGAAGATGTCTGCATGTGTTGAGCTAAAGAGCTGATAAGAAAGCAAAAACTGATACTGTTCAGTAAAACTGAAAGCTGTTCTTCCTATCCCTCCATTTCTTTTAACAGAAAAGAGTATACAGATGTTTATAATTGTGCAGAATTTGGGATTTCAGCTTGCATATCTTCTTGCTATTGATTTATCAAACGTTTAATAATATTTTACTGTTTTATGAATTCTCCTCAGCCACAAATCGTTTCAGTAATTGATTTATGGCAACATTTGGAACTTTACCCATAAATTGGGCTGTGAAGGGAACATGAATTGTGACTGATGACTAATGAAGGACCATACCTTTCTCTATCCTTGAGAAATCAATGAATTGCAATAGAGTTACGTATTTACAAACTCAGGAGAACAATACAGAATAGTTAGAATATTTAGAAAAATATTCCCAAAGGTATGTCGCATAAAAATACAATTTAAAAATATGTATATTTTTCTCTAGGCACAAGACAGTTTCTGTTTTGTCTACAGAAAGTGGGAAGTGGAGTTTTCAAAATAGAGTAAGAAAATATGGTATTTACAGACATTATATGCTGAAAGAGTCTTTATGTGTTTGATGTTGGAAGTCAGGTTCCTATGGGCTCAGAAATGAGTATAATAAAAATTTTCATTTTCTGTGCAAATCAGATACTACCAGAATGTTATCAGAGCCCAAAGGGTGTAATATGATATTTTATATTTTTTTCTTGAGACAAATTGTTTGTGTAAATGGTGTACATGATTTAGTATAATATGCAGTCACTGACAGTTTTCTAAACAAATCCTGTCTTCCTGATTATTACAGATTGAGGCTACTGATTCAGAGAATAACGTGTTGGTGTTCTTTAAGCTGAGACCTGATGTAATTACAGAAGATAATCTTCATAGTAATATTCTTGTGTCATCTATGCTAAATTCACCAATTAACACCCTTTATCAAGCTGTACGTCAAGTTTTTGCTCCAGTGTTACTGAAGGTGAGCAATATACCAATTTAAATGTTCTGTGGATTTATACCGAGACATTGAAATTCCATAGGATGTTAACTAATTTTGAACTAAATGTTTTATGTTTTAAAACCAAAATATTTTAAGAGATTAAACAAGGGTGATTGTTATTTCTAAGTTATAGAAAGTACTTCACCTCCTATCAGTAAGGAGGAGAGGAGGATTCTGGTCATACATATGCCTGACTGGAAGCATGGAATACATTGTGCAGGGGTGGTTAATGAAGAAAATAACTCTTTACCTCCTTTCCAACAGTAATGCCAGCCTTGTGTCCTTTTCTTGTTTTTAGATACTCTTGGAGTTTGTATGAAATGCATAGGTCTGTGTCATGCATACTGTGATTCTTTAATAAGTGGCAGATAGGTACACTAGACTCTAGGTTAATTTTTACACCTTTTACACCTTCCAGATTATGCTATAGTAGTCCAAATTTATTTAACTTAAGACAATTAACTAACAAATGATTTTGAACACATTTTCAGAGTGCCTTTATAAAACCAGTAACTGACTTGATTTTGTGATAAAAATGGGTTTTTTTGCAGTATTATTCTGAATTGTTAAACGAAGAGAATGAGGTCCTTTTCTTTGACTTTAAGAAAAAAAATATTATTACATTGTCCCACCATGTGGTTGGTTACTTAATCTGACTTTTTTTTCTTTTCAGATTAATGGGAGGAAAATAGTAATTACTCTATCATGTGAGTCACAATTTTTGAAATTTTCATTACAGGATGAGAGATGGAGTAAAACATTTGATCCCAAACTCCAGAAACTTTTAAGTGAACTTGAAGCTGGCTTGAGTACTGCTCTCAGAAGATCAGATCCTAATTACACAGGAACAAAATTCTGTGAAGATGATGTGCGAGGTTTGTTTTGCAGTTATATCTTTTTATAATTAATTTTAAATTAGGAGTAAATAATTTATTTACAAGTTGAATTTTTAGACTTCCCAGTGACTGCATAGTGTGAAGTATAGCAGGCTGTGGTTAGTAGATGGAATTAGTGATGGTTATACCAAGAGACCAGAGTTGACCTTTAAACTGTATCTAGTTAGAATCAGAAGTTGAAAGATATTTACATAACTACATAGTAAAAGCCTGCTTTATAAAGGATGTTCTGACTGAAAATATTTTATAACAATCAATTTATTTCATATATAAATATTTTCTGTTGTTATTTGCAGCTATACTTACACCAACAGATGAATTTCAGTTCTGGATAGAATGTGCTCGTCATGGAAGTAAATGGTGTAGTAAAGAGAGAGCTTCATATTTTAAAGACCTATTTGAGGACATTGCAAAAGTATGTTTTATTTTGTGCAATCAGTGATATATTTCTAGATTTAGTAAAAAATATTCTTCCCCTGAAATTTATGTCAGTATATGTACATTCTTTTTAAATATATGAGTATATAACTATTTAGTTATTTTTTTCTTAGGCAAAATTTTACTTTAAATGACATTCATGTAGTTTGTAGTGACAGTGGTGTGTGGGAATGCCAACATGTAATTGGGAACAGATTTGACCATTGAATACTAAGAGCTGCTGTAGAAATACAACAATATTCTACAGTTTTTGAACTAGAGATCAACTCATAAGGTTATAAAAAGGACAATAATAGTGCTATCATGCAAAAATTTTAGCACCCATAAAATGCTTTCTTGAACAATGCTTCAGATATCAATGAATTCTTCATGTGAATAAACTTACACAAATGCTTGTTTTTTAAGAGGATTATGACATATTCTTTTATGCAATAAACCCTAGGAAACTATACCGCTTGCCAGCTTCAGAAACTTATAAATGTTTCTACAATACTACTTGCAAAGTAAACATATTAAGGGGCATTTTTTTTTCTAGGATTATTACAACTTGGATACTCTATCATTATTTGAAGCTGTGGATTTGGTGGAGAGTACCAAGGATACTGTTGATGGTGTGTGGAGACAAACAGAACATGATCCTTATCCACAGTCACGCATGCATAATCTCTTGGATGTAATAGGTAAACCTTTATGCAGTCTTTATTGAATGAACAGTTGAGAAAAAGTAGAATGATTCCTTGAGCAAAAGCCTTCTTCCTTGTAAAGGCACCAGTAATAGCCCACAGCATTAAGGTGCTTACTTCTTATAATTATGATCCATGAATATTATTTGCCTTCTAGTATGCAATAATTCAACCAGTTCTGGTAGATGCCTTCACACATGCTTGGGAAGATGATAGATAGTAAGAAGATGGAGGTGGATCCATTTCTGCTGGTGAAGTAGATTTGTCATACTTCTGTTGCACTCCCTGTCTTTCTCTCAGAGGAGAAAATTTATTTACGTAAACCCCCATTTAAAGGTTGATTTGGTCTGTGTGGAGGTGAGAGCAGGATGTGCAGAGAAGTTGCTTCTTCTCGTTTCCTCAACAGCAGCCCCACGTTTGGAGACAGGCAGTGAGTTTGTCTGCTGCTGCCAGATATGTGTGTGCATGAGGGCAAGGATTGCAGGGGGAAGTCAGGTACTGCCATTACTGCTGATAAGGACAGGTGCTTGTGTGTGGAATTCAAAATCCAAATCCATCAGCTTCTGATGTTGGAGTAACCTCTGTTTAACTCAGAGATATTCAAGAGATCTGTTGAATCTAAAACAATCGGTTATTGGTACATTTGTGTGGTTTGAAATCAAGACATTACACTAGTTTTTTAAACATGTAATTGGAATGTGGCATAGGAATTATTTTAAGCAAACATAACATCTTGCTTTTCTATATGTTTTTTGTCTTCTAGGTGGCTCGCTAGGTAGATATGTTCAGAGAAAATTAGCAGCTTTGAATTTGTGGGAGGATGCTTTTCACAGTGTTAAAGAAAATATAAAGGCTGGCATCTTGATTTGTGAGCAGTGGGTATCAGCTTGTGAATACTTAACTGGACAGCTGTGGCAACGTTATACTCTACATCCATGGAAAAATGAGAAATATTCCCCTGAGTTGCTAGCCAAACTTGGCAAACGTCTTGATGAGGTAGAGATTTCAATTATAGAGATCAGTTTCATTAGACACAGAATTAAACAATATTGTTTCAAGTTAAAAGAGAGAGTTAAACACTTTTATAATCTTTACAGAGTCAGATAGCATCCCATAATCTATGTTTGCCTGAGCCTTTCAAAAGTTTCTTGTAAAAAGGAGAGAGATTGGTACTTCTAAATGTAAGTTTTATGTAGAACTACTTTGGATATATCAAATACTTTTTTCCCCATAGGTGCTAACTGTTAGAACACTGCATGAAAAACTTACATTCTTTTTGCCACCTGGAGAACAAAATTCTTTACATCCTGCTCAAGTCTTTGAACCCTTTACTGGCCTAAATCCTGTACACTACAATCCTTACACAGAGGTATAATGCTTAATTTTTAATTTTTAATTTATTCTCGTTTTTTCTGTGTCTTTCTGTGATGTATATGGATAGTCCTAAACTAACGTGAACTCATTATCTCTAGCCATTATGGAAAGCAGCCATCGTTCAGTATGAAAGAATTATTGCACCAGCAGAACAAAAAATAGCAAGCAAATTGAAGAAATTTATTTCAGAAATTCAGGACAGTCCTCAGCAGGTATGGGTATTTTTGTAGTCTGAAAATTTTCCTGAAGATCAAGTTATTGAATTCTTAAGTAGTGAGTTTAGAGCACAGGAATAAATGCTTAGAACCAGAGACAGTACTACTTATAAGCAGCAGTAATCAGTAGTGTCAGAACATGTTCATTTTTTTTCAGTAGAAAGCAATACCTTCTTTAAAATTTCATATTCCAGCTTCTTCAAATATTTCAGAAACATAAGGAACTGATAAAGCATCCAAATATAAGCAAAGAATTGCTTTTTGAAAGGGAAACATTGCTGGCAGGACTTCAAGATTATGTCAAAGGTATTTAATTGCTTTTTTTTTTTTTTGCAAATACTAGGATCCTTTATTCTTGAATTATGTCAGTATAACTATTATATTTTTATTACTACAACTAAGGTTGTTCTGTTAGATTTCTGGACTAATGAATCTTTTGCTTGTATTAGACTATCAGACAGACTTTGAAACTCGATGCCATGGTGTACCTGGTGATGTTTCTGGACCACTGTCAGGCAAGAACCTTTCTGAAGTTGTCAATAATATTGTGTGGGTACGGCAGCTGGAACTGAAGGTAACAGATTCCACTACTATTTAGAGACAGTATTATCATAGAATGTAGGACACGGTATTTGACATTTTTGTGGGGAATTCCACACAGAAAAACTGTGGGCTTCCCAAGAGTTGCATAATCAAATTCTTTCTCAATGGTGGTACTTGCTAAGTTGAATTTTATTAATAGACCCAGAAGACAGTCTTTTTATAATAAACTGAGCTGCCTGCTTTTATGACTTAATTTTTAAAAAAAAAAAAAAAACAACAACCAAACACAACAACAAAAAAACCCACAAACAAACCAACCAACCAACCAACCAAAAGAAACAAAAACCCCCCAAAAACCCAAAACCAACACCGACCAACCAAAAAAACCTCAGAGAGGATGAATTTTTGTTAAATTTTACCTTCCTGTTTGCATTTTTAAATTGTATTTAGGATTCATAGGTAGCCAGATTCTGACATCGTAATTCTCACTTGTTATTACCAACCTGTGTAGTGTCCTCTTGAAATTGAAGGGATTTCTTAGTAGTGCATTTTGAGTTTGTACCTGCTGGGGAATTTACTACATGGACAGTAAAACTTTTACTTTACAGTAAAAGTAAATGTACAATTCAGTGTTCTCTTACAACAGATTGTGTTTAAAACATATTTGACCGACTTATGTTGGTTTTGTTAGTTTGTATTTACACTTTAGTTGGAAACTTTGAATATTTTTTGGAAAGCATTGACCCATGAAAAGCAAAATGCTTTTTGTGAACAGAAGTGCCATCTACAATAACTATAGATTTTAATGAGAACAGAAGTTACTTATCTCGGAATAACTATTAACCCAGTACTATTACCCCAGTTTTTTATCATTTACCTGTGATTTGCAGAAATCTTCAGGGCCCATTTCAGCTGAACATGACAAGGGATGGAGGTATTAAAGGTATTACTTTGTTATGTCCCTTGCAGAGAGAACATCAGCAGCTCAGGTTTATTTCTTCTGCTTGGTCTACCAAAGACTTAGCTCAGCTTATGTGTATCACTTTTATGTCTGATGTAGGTTGTGCTAAATTTTTAAGTTGCTCTCAAATCTCCACTGATTGTATTGACTGGGGTTTTGATTAATTTGTCCACACATAGATGTGAAACTCTGTTTCAAATACCTTTGAGTACTGTCATGGACCTTATAGATACAATGGACTCATGGGAGATCTGTACCTTTATGGAGTATTAACTGAAGACCAGGTGGGATACTCTGAGGTATCTTAATAGTGGTAGACACCTGCGGTGGACAAGTTATTCAGACCCAATTTACTGTAATGAGAATTTGAACATCTGGGACACAAGTCAGGATTCACTTTTTTTTATCAATTTTAATCAGTTTTTCATCCCACTTGGATGTTTTGTAATAGTGATTTTTGTTGTGGTGATTTTTCTTTTCTGATCAAATACTGGGAAGTTAAGCTTCTTTTCTTTGCGGTTGTGTTTAAGGTGGATGATACTATCAAGCTGGCAGAGGCCCTTCTGTCTGACTTATCTGGATTTCAAACTTTTCATCAAAGTGCAGATTCTTTTCTGGAACAGTTAAAAGTGTATGAACAAGAACAATTTGATGACTGGTCTAGGAATATCCAGTCAGAATTATCAAATTCCAAGTCAGGACTTTGGTAAATACATTCTTGTTTAAATAATGTTTATTAAATAAATTATGTTTATTAAATATGAAATCTGTAGTGTGGTGTAATTCATTAGAACTCAACAAAGGAGATTAAAAAAAATACAGAATTGAGAATGAATGGAAAAACAAAATAGAAGAATTTATGACAATTTCATCATCCTGCCAGTCTTGGTTGGTAAGGTGAAGTATAAAGGACAGTGTTAATAACAAATCCTGCGGTTTCTGTTAGCATCTGGAATGAAAGACATGTTTGGTTTGCTTGCTGTTATTACTTGTTATCCACTGTAATCCATATAGTGATTATGTATAGAAACCAGATGAGATTAGAGAATAGGTGTGATATAGATGACACATGTAGAGTAACAACTTAATTCTGCAGTCTAAATAGGAGAGATTAAAGAAGACTAAGCAAATCTGTTTAAACTTCATGAATTATGTTCCCCAAAATAATGACATTTCTTTATGGGATATTAAAATATATTTTAATAATTTTTGTTTTAGTTCATTGGCCACATAGCTTCTGTGTGAATCTCTTGTGTTGCAAACTTCGTTTGGAAAGAGTTTGTCTACAGTTTCAGAGGATAAGGAGTTGATACTTATGTGAAAACTTTTATTTTACGAAAAATGCTCAAGTATGGCAAATAACCAGATTCAGCACTCTAATATAATTTTAAAAGATGATATTTTAAAAGATGTCATGTGATTAAAAGGACAAGAAAAGAGGTAACTCACTAAAAAAGGGGAATACAATGGATATGGAAACTACAAAAAAGATGAGAAAAAAAGAAAAAATGAGTAAAGCTGAAGTTTTTATGAAAGAAACCTTGAAGGATGGTAGTAGAAGCATTAGTAAAGTAGAAGAAAAATGAAGTAAAATCTGAAGACAGGCTGATGTTATTACTATTTGGTTGCATATATCAAAGTACTTTACTGATACAAGTCCTGGTTCTTGGACTGATTCCCTCAGATTATTTTTCTCCCTTTGCAATGCTGAAGACTGGGACCTGTAAAGTGCCTGCTTGAGAGATTATGATGGATACAGTGTATTTGACAAATACTGTCTAGCTGCGAGTTACACATTAACTATTGTCACAAACCAGAAGGACTTCGTAAGCAAAAACAATAGGCATTGTTAATTTCTTATTGTCTTCATTGGTTTTGAATTAAAAGAAAGGTTACTGGAAAAAATTCTGAGTAAATTAAAATGTTAATAAGTGTAGTAAAACATAATAGAGTGACATCAAGCTTTTTAGAATAGTTTATTATGATAAAATGCATCTAAGAATGGATAAATATCACATTACATTCAGTAATCTGCTTTATTTTGGTTCAGTATCCAAGCTAATAGCCCTGTGATGGAGTTGGATCACATTTCTGGAACACTGAATATACTTTATTCTGATCGTTTGGTGACTCTCTTAAGAGAAGTACGTCAGCTATCAGCACTTGGATTTGCTATACCAACTAAAATACAGCATGTTGCAAACACTGCACAAAAGTTCTGCAAGCAGGCAGTCATCCTTAAACAGGTATAAGATTAATAACTTCATGTTCTGACTTCCCAGCTTTAGTTCGTGGAACTTTTCTAGACTGCTGTCTTTTCTGTCTTTTTTCTAAGTCCATAAAAGAAAACAAAAGTAAAGAAATGCTTTACTATTTCAGAATGTATTTTCTTTTGAAATATAGTATTAAAGCTGTGTGAAGTTACTGCATGAATATACAAAAATAAGACAAGTAATTAATTGATCACCTGATTTTAGTCTCAGTTTTTGATATTGTGACTGAAGGAAAATGTCATAAAATGAAGCGACTCGTCCTCACCATTGCTAGTTTTCAACTGAAAATATGTTAATAAGTATTTTAATGGAAATATGTGTAGGTTTTTTGGGGGGAGTGGGTGGTGTATTTTTTTGATTGCATTCAATGCTACGAAGTTTTTATTCACATGAGATGTCATTGATAGCTGAGATACCCGTACAGCTAAGGCAGAGATGACATAAGACCTGCAAGATACCCACACACTGACAGATGTCCAAGTAGAAACCTTACTTATGTCAAAAGGCACTAAATGTCTATGTGTGGACAACTAAAGCAAGTTGTAGGGTATACCTCTTACTCCAGGTGTCCATCTGGAAGTAAACAGATATTTTTAGCTCGTGTCATATCCTGGCAGATGTCATTGATACATGAAGGTCTCTGAAATGGCACTAGATGCCAACATTTGCATAAAATATTGGAACTAATTCACTTATAACAAATCAGAGACTGAACCTATTTAACTTAGGGTGAAGCATAATCACCTCAGATGTGTAAGAAGCAGCCTTTTTTCTATTAGAATTCATTACTAGAAGAAGATAGAACCACATTAGCATTATATGTATATATTTCTAAATATTTTACTTGTGTAGTTAGTTCTCATTTCTTAATGAGATTGATTGGGCAATATTTTCAGGAATGTTCTGGGTTACAATTATTTGCATATAAATATTTTTATCTGTTCTTGTACATTTAATCTCTATTTTTACAGGTGGCACATTTTTATAATTCTATTGATCAACAAATGATTAAGAGTCAGAAGCCAATGATGCTACAGTCTGCTCTAGCATTTGAACAAATAATTAAGGTGAAAGAATTATCCTCTTTTTGTATTTTTAATTTCAATGGTATCTGTTCTTATTATGTGCTGTTTTTTTCTGCATTTATTGCTGGACTTTTTAACTGTAGCTTTCCCATCCAAGCAACACCACCTGTTTAATTAATGTTTATTGAAATCATTTGGCCTTTTTTAATATATATTGTCATTTAAACAACTGCTTACTCTTTTTAACTTGGATATTAGCATAATATACTCTCTCAGGAATTATTTTTAGTGTTTGAATTGCATATGAACTATGATATGGTCAATTCCTTAATAGTTGGTAACATAACTCCTGTGTTAGCTGTTCTAAGTAATATTATTTTGATCTGTTTAATAAGATTGGCATATGCTTTATTTTGGAGATAAATTAGTATTAAGGAATGGTTTCACTGTTTTGTCTATTATTAAATCTCTCTGGATTTTGTAATTCTCTTGAATATCTCTAATTTGTGTTTTGAGCAGGTTAGAAGTAGCCAGCTAGTTTCTGTTTTAGGCTAAGAACAAAGAATCTGTGCATCTATCTGATTATTGACTTATACATGCAGTTTGTTACAGTGGGCTGGTATTCAGAAATAATATAGTTGCTCTGACAATAGTGTTTCTTTTCTTTTTTGCTAGGAAGTTCACTATCCTTAGATTCTTTTAAGGAATTTGGGTCAATTTGGAGAACTTTATTTTAATTTTTCTGCTTTGAAGGGACAATATGAACATTACTACAATCCACATTTTTTTTAACAACATATCTCATTTTTATGTCTGGAGAAGCATGTCGATAATGAATTTCAGTTTACTGGTTTTGATCAGTTTCAAGCACTCCAGCCTGTTCTAATGCTCTTACAATGTGAGAATGGCTCATGAATTATAACATGCCCATAAACTCTGTATTGGAGAATGGTGCCACCGGAGCAAGCATTACAGGAACAATTGGAAACTCACTCCTGAGAAACGTTTTGCAAGACAGATTATAAGAACTGGGGCTGGGAGTAGAAGGGATGCTGGCGTTGGGATTAATTCATAAAAAATGGTGAAGACTGCAAACCAAACTGTAGATTCAAAAGTGTCCTGGAAAAAGTTCCCTAACTATCTGTTAAGTTTTGCTTTAGCTGATTATAGATTATGCTACAGATTCTTTCAGTGTGCAACCTCTAAGATAGTGATGGTGCACAGGTGTTCAAAACCACAACATACTCTCCTATTTAATGTGATTTCTGCCCTGCATCTTTTAGGAATAGATCTAGCTCTGGAACTTCAGATGCTTTTGTCTTCTGATTTTCTACTGCATAAAATCACCAGAACCTTGATAAAAAGCCCAGAGAAATGAAACTCCCCAAATCTGATTGTGTGAAGTTTTACACTGTAATTTAAAAAAAAAATTATTTAATGATAAACAGATGAAGTTGATTAGCAATTATTCATGTCACATTTTTGGTTTTGGTCTGTGCAGAACAAAGAGAGAGAAATTTAAGATTTCCTTTCATCTTGAGCTGTCTGCTTATGTTTGTGGGGCAGAAGTCTCAACATAAGTTAATTTATTTCAAACTCTGTTAAGAGTCTGTCATAAATCCTTCCCCAGTGCATTGATGTAGCTATACTGCTATGCCTACATGTCTGTGATTTGCCAGATTATTTTGTCTCTAATGCAGTTAGGGAAAGGAAGGTCCTCCATTTTTTACTTTCTCATATTATCACTTCCTGTATGCTAGTTGGTAGACTATATTTGTGAATAAATCTGACAGAGTTTGTATGTTTTTAAAGCATTCAAAATCTGGTCCTGGAGGAAAAGCTCAAATAACATGGGATAATCCCAGAGAACTGGAAGCTTATATCCAAAAACTTCAAGCTGCTGCTGAACGGCTTTCCACTGAAAATAGAAAACTAAGGAAGTGGCACACAAACTTCATTGAAAAGGTACATTTTCCATATGAAATTGAAATTGTGTCTCTTATGGCTTACCTTACCCTTTCTTTCATTTACATGGTGATGAGTATGCTTATTATTCCTTAAAATTCTTTTGACAGGTTATATCGCTTATGAATATTGATCTACTTCGGCAGCAGCAGCGTTGGAAAGATGGACTCCAGGAGCTCAGAACTGGTTTTGCCAGCCTCGAGTCACAGGCAGGGTTTCATTACCATACTGCAAACTGTGAACATTTGACTTTTCAACAGTAATCAAAATTAAAGACTCAAACATGGCATGATTGAATTAATTTTGATTAAGGAGTTACTAACTGGGTCAGGTAAACCAACTGTGTACTGGTTAATGTCAGGTGTGAGGTAAAATCTCAGATGAGGAGGAGGAAGGCAATCTTTTTGATCTCACACTAGTCATGGGAGAACTTTTGGTCAATGATGTGTTAGATGAAGAAATGGGAAAACCTTAGATAATGTAGATCAGTTATGTCTCATTAATGTCTGAGCCATTAATGCAAGGTAAAACAAAGAAATTGGTACAGATATGAGTGATCCCTGGATAGAACAAATGTATAAAATTTAGAATTAAAATGCATTTCTGCCTGAAATAATGAAAAAGATAAGTTTTTGTTTGTTCACTTATCAACTGTCACCTTTTCGAGTAGAATCACAGAATCATTTGAGTAGCAAAAGACCTTTAAGATCATTAAGATGATAAAGATTTTGTTTAAGAATGTCATATTATTAAAGTAGGTAGGTAATATTACATCACCTAATCTATTTTGAGGTATTATTCCAGTCAGTTTAATTTTTCCTATAGCCTTCAGCAATCAAAGAACTATATTCTTAGATGGATGTGTTGTTCTTAACCTTTCTAATGCAAACCCAGTTGGTATTTGCCAGTAAAATAAATGCAGTATCTCTACAGTATTTTACTTATAATTTTGTTTTCATTTTCTAAGGATAATAAGAAAAATAAGTAAGTGTATCGATTCCGCTTTTAGTTTGTAATTTCTTTTGAAGTTTAGTTTGCAGATTTTTATTTTACGAAAATAATCTATATTTGCCTCAGGATCTGTTTGAAAATTGTTTTGGTATTACAGAATATTTTTAGATGGAAAATTAACAAAACTATATTATCCACTTTGTAAATATCTTTGACTGAAGTTATAAAACTTAACCAAATATATCTTTTTCACCATCCAAAAATTACAAGGTGGTATAGCCTTACTCCTGTTGTCATCAAGATTTTACATATTTCTTAAACCCTATTTATGATTGTCTGAAGGCTTAATTGAGACAATTTCAGATTTTCTTAATCTCTAGAATCTTTCTGTTGGAAGAGTTCCTCTGGGCAGCCTTGAATTGTAGGGCAGGCCTTAACTGTGTAGCTTTCTGCAGCAGCCCTTGACTGCCTCGAAAGCCCTATCTAAATCACTATTCAATTAAACAAGAGAACCTGTTAAGCTGGAAGAAGCTTCTAATTTCTTCTCTAGCTTATGTTGTCCTTTTAAAAATTCCTGGACGACTTGTAAGAGACCATTTACAGACTTGATAGATAGGGATTTACACTTTCTTACAGTGCAGTGTAGCAGATTCTAATGAAAGTCTGAATTCTTTGAGATGAAATCTTTGCTAACTTAGTAGTTAACATTGGTCTGTGTAAACACACAAAAATTTTTTTAAATACTGTTTAAAAGGTAGCTTACATTGTAATATAGGTTTAAATCTCTCATTCAGCCAGCTCTTTATCTTATTTCTAGCTAAGTCCTGTGCATTTTAGAGTAACCTTGAAGAATCTTATAGTAAACCTCAGTGAAGTTCTTATCCTGAACTGCCATAGAGACTCATTGATTTGTGTTTTTTTTTTTGTTATTCCTATATTAATTTGAAATAAATGCAATAACTCTAGATCTCCCTAATGTTCAAACTGGTCACATTACCAGAGAATATCTTGAGTTAGTAAGGTCCCACAAGGACCATTGAGTCCAACCCTCTGCTCTTCACAGGGCTACCTAAAACTAAACCATATGACTTAAGTATGTTGTCCAGATGATCCTTAAACTCTGACAGGCTTGGTGCCATGACCACTTCCCTGGGAAGTCTGTTCCAGTGGTGTGATACTTCAGTGAACTTTACTGAGGTCCTAGTCTTCAGACATTGTACTGTGTGCAGTTTCAGTTTATAATTGTGGTTTGAGAAATAAAATAAAACAAAAAATTAACATTGTTAAATTTTAGGGTTTCAAATCGAATGATATGAAAGCTTGGAGACAACACTGGAATCATCAACTTTACAAAGCTCTGGAGCATCAGTATCAAATGGGCTTAGAAGCACTCAATGAGAATTTACCAGAGATAAATATTGATCTAACATTCAAGTAAGATTTTTTTCTTTTGCCTTATAAGAAAATATTTAGACTCAGGTTACATTAAAATATTAATTTTTCATTATCTGTTTCACTTCTTAGACAAGGCCGGTTGCAATTCAGACCTCCTTTCGAAGAAGTACGAGCTAGATATTATAGAGAAATGAAGAGATTCATCTCTATTCCAAATCAGTTTAGGGGAGTAAGTGAAGCAGATGATGAATCTATATTCACTGTTATGACTGAAAGAAATGCAAATGGATTTCTGACTGCTTTCAGTAAAGCAGAAGATTTGTTCAGAAGGCTGACAGACGTTTCTAATCAATTCAAGGTATTTTCAGTATTGGACTGACTCATACTTTTTTAATCTTAGATTTGTATTCGTGTATGCTTCGGACACCCTAGAAATAACTGAGCATTGACGTGTGCGTTATTGTCCGTTTCTGCAAGGCATATAAGCAAAACCTTAGTAAGTCGACCCATGTTAGTCAACAACTTAAGCATATGCCTAACTTGAAATATATGTACAGTTCCCATCGGAACCTGTGTATTATAGCTGTCTTTTCAGTCCTGCTGTTTTGATTATCCTGAAATGTGTGAATATGTAAAACCATTTTGTATTTCCTGATTTTTGTACGAAGAGAATCTCTAGGTAATTGAAGGGGCACTAAGGTTAAAGAGAATGTTGCTTGAAAACATTATTATTTTAATATTATCGAGAAACATTTTTTTTATTCTGGAAAATATTTCTTTTCCATGAAATGAAAAATGATGTTGGGAAGGAATGGATCGTAATTGGCCAAGTAGATATGGAATCTTTGGTGAAGACACATCTTTTTAGCAAGCAGGACTGGGAAAAAAACTTTAAGGCATTAAAAGTGAGAGGGAAAGAAGCAGAACGTCTTCCAAGGTATAGTGTAACTCTATTCTTTTGTTTGAACACTGTATTCTATCAGATACTTTAAAGGTAGTAGTAAAATAGAGATTTTCTCTTTACGTGAAGATATAGACAGAACTTCTAGAGTTTTTAAAATATTGATGTACTTTTTGAATGTTTGGGTTTTCATTTTTCCATTTTATTTTTAGACATTTACTGTCTTTTATCTGTTCAGTCTTCTCTGAAAACTTTTAATTATTTTGTCTGATATGATGGGAAACTCCATCAAAATTCGGGGCTCATTCTTAAATATTACAAAGCGTGATATTTTTAAAAATCTGTTAGCTAAGTCCTGTACATGAGAAATATATATGGCAGTTAGCAAACGACACAGTGAATGTTTATACATGAAATAATTCCTGTATTGAAACATTTGATTACCTCTTACAATTTAAAACACGCTAGTGTAGGCTTTTATTCTTACATATATTCCCATGGGACTTACTCTGCTATACGGTTAGAGTTCTTAAGTGAAACTGGAAGGAGTTGTTTTCAGAACAAGGAAAAAGAGGTGACATTTCATTCTGGAGAATGGACTAGTAGAACTTGTTGGCTAAGTGATATTCTGAGTAGAACCGTCAGTCTGGACAGGCTGAGATGAATAGAAGAGAAACTAACTGGCTGGTATGTCTTATAGCCAGAAGCAACATGTTGCTAAGAAGTGCTTTGAGTTGAAAATATTGGTGTGAGGGAGGATACTCTTGAAAGTATCAAATAAGGTAGACTTTTTCTTAGTGTTCTTTAGGCATCTACTTGTGGTCACTGTGAGATATTAGATGTGGGGCCTTGAGATGACTCACTGTGGCTTTTCTTCTGTTCTTAGGACTATTGAAGGCAGGGTTAGTAAACTAATGGAAATTTGAGATTTAAAGGCATAAAAGTACAAATAATGATAGTATTTTTTCTTTTGATTATGGTAATAGCCTTTTTGAATTTTGTGGCACTGGTTATATAAAATCAAGTAATTTCTAACTATTTAGAGAAGCAGAGCATTGGACCTCAGTCCCCATAAAACTGCATATATGTGCATAATTGGTGTAAATATTTCAATAGTATGAGTAATTTTCCCAATAAGCTATGACTTTTAGTTGTAGAATTATGAGGCAAATTTTTTATTAGGCAAAAAAATGAGGGTAAACTATAGATGCGCATAGGTCTTAGACAGACTGACATTTAGGTATGCTACTGAATATTTACTGTCTTTTTTTTCTTGAAGCACCGTCAGGATAGATTGTTTAACTGTCAATTGCAACCCTGTCAAAACTGTAATTGATGATTTCATCCAGAAGTTGTATGATGTTCTAGTCATTTCTTTGAGGAAATGTATTCAAGGTAAATAACTTCAATGATAGTATTTTTGGTTTTGTTTCTATTGTACTTGGGGACATTTGTGTTAATGTAAATACTCTTTTAAAGAAATATTTTACTCTCAGACACAGTGAGCTGCAGAAATCACAGTGCAGAGAAAGTAATCTGTTACTACTGTGTGCTCCTCAACATTACTTTTTCACTACAAGCCTAACCTAAGACCCTTTGATGTCCATGTGTGTCTTTCCTGTTCACTTGCTTGGGCCACATCTCTTCCAGATGTAAAAGAATACATATGAACGTTATTTTGCGTGTTGATTTTATCTGAAGGAATATTTCTTTGTTGTTTCAGAGAGGAAAATTTATTTGATGTTTGAGAGAGGAAAGTTACTTAGGTGTTTGAGGAGACATCATAAAATGTTGTAATTAAAAATACTAGATTTTTCTTTTACAAACTGAAATGCTTCATGAAGAGTCTTGAATAACGTAGACTTATTTCATAGAGTTACTTGTCACTTAGACTGTCAAAACACAGAGTGTTAAAGAATGTAAAACATTTCCCTAATTTCGGATGGTCTGTCTATATCTTGAAGAGTAGGACAAAATGGAATAATGAGTAGATGATGAGAAATAACCATGCTTTGTGCTTTAAAGCTAACAATCATCACAGGAAATACAGAACAGGGGTTATGCAGAAAGTGAATGACTTCCATAGCCTGAAAGGTGAATCTTTCCCGGAAGATTCCCTGGAAATGTACAGCTTCCTTCTCAGTATCAAAAAAGATCTACCTTGGTAGGAAAACAGAACATTATAGCTTAATCAAGCTTTTGTTTTTGAGTCTTTTCAATATGTAAAGCAAGGTGGCTTTAGTTATTTACCTTCTTTAAAAGAACCTAACCAAAACCAAAAAAAAACCCAATAAACCCCTGAAGAACCCAAAGGCAATTTTAACATCTGTTTCTCTCTGTTTACCCAAAAAAAGACCTATACAGCTTTTGAAAGTATATAAACAAGTGCCTTATGTATTTATGTTTAATGTTCAGAAGGGACTCTGATATTTATGGCCTAAATCATACATTGAGTAAAGTGGTTTACATTTAAAAAACTGTGTAAACACAAATGTGCAATTTTTGTTGAGGTAGTATGTAAGATTGGAGTCTGGAATTTTTTAAGCAAATACTTTACATACTTATGACAATGTTGTATCATTGTGCATTTTCTGACTTGGATATTTAAAACTACCAATATTTTCTCCATGCTAACTTTGTTTTCCATCATTATATAGTTCACCTTTGTGATGTTTCTTCATTTCTCACCGATGCCATGGAAACATTAGTGATTAGGCCCCAGACTGTAGAGGAAATAGCAGAAGACAATTTAAAATATTTAAGCCTACATGAACGAAAAGAAGGGGTAAGATACCATTTTATCATATCTAGAACAACAACTATAAAAAATGCAATTACTTTCTAGTATGAAAACTTACATTTAATAATAACTAGTATAGATCATGCAGTGGCCATGCAGGGGCAAGGCAGTAGTCCATGTAGCACAGTAATTTGTGTCCAGCAGTAGAGTGGCTTACCTATGGGAAAATATAAAATCGGGACAGAGTATTTGATACTTGTCCTTACTTCTAACCTCAACCAGAACCTTTTTGAGTTTTATGTGGCTCCTAAACATATAGTAACACTCAGTGATTTCTTTTTGACAGCCTTACCTCATCTTCTCTTGATTGCAAATACACGTTTGACATCTAAAATATACTCTGGTAAAATGTAGATCAATTGCCCATTACATGAAGGACCCTTTCTTTTATACTTTTTTCACCTGCCATTTACTAACTTCATACCATTTATGTCTTATATTGAAGAGATATGGACCTTTTCATGACACATGATTGTATTCTTTTTTTGTGTGTCTGGTATCAGCCGTCTCTCTTCTAGATTGAAGAGTGTTAGTTTACCTAAGGTTTTCTTATGCATAAACCCACACATAACTTTGATCATCCTTGTTGCCTTTTGGTAAGTCCTTTCTTTCTGTTTCAATTTTCTGTGGGACCAACAGAATTTTTCCAATTTTTAAGATATGAATAAACCCTGGATTTATATGATGAAATAGAAATATTACCTCTTTTATTATTTTTTTGACTCCTGTGACTCCTAACATTTGATTTACTTCCTACTGCTTAGATTAAGCTGACAATTTTTTAAAATTAGTTGTCATAACTCCAAGATATCAAGCCTAAAATTCAGTTGTTAGCTTAGAACTCAACTTGTACATGTAAAATTTATTTTTTCATGTTTACATCACTTCATGGCTGTCTTCCTGAGTTTTTGTCACTGGTATCATCAGTCCCTATTTCTTTTAAGTTCATTCTGCAGTACTTCACAGGTGAAGTATTTTAATGCTTGGAGTGACATAATATCATCAGTAAACTTTATCATCTCACAGGTTGGTCTCCTTTTCCAACTCTTTTATAAAACACCTTGAGCAGTCCAGCACAGATACCTACAGAATTCTGTGGGTGACCTTTTCCCATTGCAGGAACTAGCTGTCTCCTCCTAACGCTGTTCTCTATCTTTTACCCTGTTAATTATCTGTGCAAGGCCCTTTGTTCTTTTATCAAGGTTATCAGTTTTCCTTAAATGCCTTAGGTGAGGGTTTGTATTAAAAGCTTTTTGGAAACTCAGTTGGAATATATGATTTAATTTTCCTTCATCCATACCCTTACTGATGTCCTTAAAGAGCTCCAGTTCTACAAAATTGTGGAATTCTGCAAAACCCATATTAACTCTTCCCAACCGGACAATATTTACACTTTGAAGGATTCAGTTCTAAATGAGTCCATTTGAGTTTAGGTCTGTATGTGCAGGTGTCTGCAGTGCGTGCGCTGTTAATATACTCAGCAGAAGTCTGGTCCAGTTGCCCAAAAGTGCAGTTCTAGAGTTACTGAGATGCATTTCCAACATCCTCACAAGGCTGGCAGACATAACAGAGGAGTTCTGTGAGGCCTCTACCTTTCCATAGTTGCAACTGGAGGCCATGCAAGTGCCCTAGAACATCTCAGATGGCCCGAAACATGTATTTGTGAGGAACTGAATCAAGTCCCAGTGATGAAGTCAGCTGCTAGGTGTAATTATTTACATTTTGTAGGAACTCTGGGAGAGTTTTTGGATGTTGAAGAGAATTGCTTCTTAGCATTAGTGCCTCTTCTCTCCTAATTTTTAAAGGAAAACATACATAGCAGACATTTTGGTAAATGTGTAGAACTGTGTGTGTTTATCTCAGATGACTCTGCTGACTTACATAGTTTAAACGAGTTGGTTTGGTTTCTCTTTCAAATTTTGTCAATTCTTAATATGTGGGAAAAAAAGATGAATTTTTTTTTCTGCATTATCAGGTCACAAAACCAGTGCTCTTTTATATGAGTATAAGAGAAAAAAAAAGGAAAGAGGGAGAGAAGGAAGGAGGGAGGGAAGGAAAGAAGGAAGGAAGGAAGGAAGGAAAGGGGCAGTATTATATGGCATGAAATATCTCTGCCTGGCTGTATTTCATGGATTGAAATACAGGTAAATAGGTAAAGCAAAGGCAGTGCAAAATCAAAGCAAAACAAGGAATTCATTCACCACTTTCCGTGGGCAGGCATATGTTCAGCCATCTCCAGAAAAGCAGGGCTCTATCATGCGTTATAGCAACTTGGAAAAACAAATACCATCACTCTGAATGCCCCCCCTCTCATCCCCTTCCTTCTTTTTCCTCCAACTTTCTATGTTGAGCACAATGCCCTGTGGTCTTGAATATCCCTTGGGTCAGTTGGGCTTAGCTGTCCTGGCTGTGTCCCCTCCCAACTCCTTGTGCACCCCCTGCCCATAGACTGGTAGATGGGGTGAGGAGCAGAAAAGATCTTGGCTCTGTGCAAGCCCTGCTCCACAGTAACTAAAACATCCCTGTACTACCACATCATTTTCAACAAAATTTCAAAACACGGCCCCGTATCAGCTACCATGAAAAAATTTAACTCCATCCCAGCCAGTCCTAGCACACATATAAACATGTTTATAGAATTCTGTTGCTCTGCTGCTGTTCTCCAATTTGATTGAGTCATCTGTGCAATGTATAAGGAAACTTATCTGTTTCATAGTTATCATTCACTTCTTTATATCTCATGGCAGGATCAAGATTTAGAATTTCTCTAAGTAAATCAGATACTACTCTTCCGATGTTTTAACGTTATTCTATAAGCAGTATTTAAAAAGCAGCTGTATATAATTTTATTATCTGTGCATATATGGTGATTCATATATATTTGCTTATAGTTTAGATAAACAGGATTTGCTGAATTTTTGCATACACATTTATTTTTAATCTTTCTGATTTTAGATTTTTCTCCTATTTCAAGAGGCTGAAGATAAAAACAAACTTCTGCGAACTGTGGCTGGTGCAGGTTTGAACACTATCAGTAGCCTAAGAGCTACATGGGATAAGTTTGAATTAATGATGGAAAGCCACCAGCTTATGATTGCAGAACAGGTAACAATGAAAGATTAACATTTTACCTGAAAATGTTGAAATTATTTTGAGTAAGTCCGGAAAAATACTTTTTTTCTTAGGTTAAATCTGTAAATATTCTCAATTCAGTGTTAAAACCAGTGTTACTGAGTTGAGGGAGAGCTTTCAAAGGAAGAATAATTAAACTCTTAAGCAGCAACTAGGTGAAACTTCTGTTGAATTGATGCTGAAATGAATGTTGCAATGTTGTACTTTTGTCTCAAAACAACTTTCTCGTAACAGAAATGACTTAATAAATGCAATGGTTAACCGAAGGCAATAGGATAACACTTAAAAGATAGTGTTTTCATTACTTTATTGTGCTTTTAGTACTGAAGCTGTTTTTTTTCTTTTCACGTAACTTTGCTAAACTATGCACAGTCCTGTAATTCCAGTCTATAGGCAAATTGCTGAACTCATTTGAAGTTCTGCTGAGGATATCCGTATGCCATGCAAATATAGCAATTTTTCTATCCACTATAATGTGCAGGCTAGATAGATAGCATAGCTGAGTAAATAGGTCTCAAATACCAGCATAATAAAAAAAAATAGTACCCCTTTAAAAAAACCCACAAAACCAGGAGAATAGAGTTGGACTGTTTCTTGGGGAATTATACAAGAAGTTTTTTGAGTTTGATTTTTGATCATATTGTAGTTACCAAGTTTTGAAGTTGATATTTTGGTTTTGATCATTGTTGTAGATACAAACCATTGAAGGAATGTAATTTTACCTCTTGCTTTACAGATTGAAATGATGAAAGGAAATGTGATTTCACGTATTAATATGTATCTTCAAGACCTGGAAAAATTTAAAGCACGCTGGGATCAGCTAAAGCCAAGTGATGATGTCATTGAAACAGGGGATCAGGATGTACTTGAGAAAAGTGCTCAGATCATAAAGGAAAAAAATAAAGAATTTGATGAACTTGAAACTGTGAAAGAAAAACTCATGTATGTATATTTACTTCCCTGTATATCTTATTCACTAATGTATGGATCTTTTGCAGCAATAGTAACTCAGAAAATGTTAACTAATTTTTATCACAACAGTTAATATAAGGAATTTAATTTGTAATACCTGTTTTTCATTAGCTTTCCAGGGTCCTTTTTGTTGATTTTACATAACATGAATTTCTCAAGCCAAGTTTTTCTAGAGTTTTTTTTTAATGAAAAATTTGAGAAGTCTCTTAAGCTTTCACATGAGGAGGTTTGATGCTGACTTCTGAAATTCTCATTGAGAGAAAGTTTATAATATTGGTCCAAGAAGGACCTCGATCCTCTTGTAACTTAAGTGGGCAGGAACTCACGTCTCCTGTTTCTTGAGTAAGTGTCCTAACTGGTAGACTGTTGTGCAAAAGGAAAGGATTTTTCTGATCTGGGTGTCTACTTTCAGTAAACAAATAATAATAATAATTAGTAAATAAATATTATAAAAATAATAATTAGTAAATTATTAGAGATCTTGAGAGGACAAAGTTTTCTGTTTAACTTCTTACCTTGGCAAGTAAATGATAGTAAATAAAATTAGCATATTCTTTCTACCCAGCAGAAAGAAAAAATCAATTCAAAATTATTTTCTTTCAAGCTTTCTTTTTGAGGGTACAAATTAATTAACTTTTCTTGTAAAAAAATGAATGACAGTTTATGGAAAATAATTGGCAATATGGGAGAATATTGCTGTGTAGGAGAGTTATCCCTCATATTCCTTTATTATTTCTATTCAAGAAGGAGACTATAAGGAAACTGGAGTTGTCAGCAGTGTTCTTCAATAAAGCCAATAACATTTCTTAAAAAAATATGATTATTTCTGTAGGATACCATTTCTTAAACCATAAATGTACAGTAGAATAATGCAATCCATAATACAGTGATCTTTTTATTCAGTGAAGAATGCCATCATTTTAAATTGGAAGAGCCTGACTTCTCATTGTCAGAAGTTGTAAGTCAAGATATTAAGAGTTGTGCAGAAGTCTGGGCACTGTATGAAGAGTTTTATGAAGGTTTTCAGGAAAAAGCCAAAGAAGACTGGATTACTTTTAGGTATGATTTTGTTACTTTATTTTTAATTGACATACATGTGTGGTTGTAGTACTGTGTTGTTATGACCTTTTTATATTTGATTTTCATGCAGAAGTAAAACACACCTATTTGAAGAATTTTTGTTTCACTGGCATGACAAAATGAGGAAGATGGAAGAACATACTGTAATGACAGTAAAGTTGCAAAAAGAAGTGGACAAATACAAAGTAAGATGCTTATTACTCTGGAAGTGTTCAAGGCCGGGTTGGATGGGGTTTTTAGCAACCTGGTCTAGTGGAAGGTGTCCCTGCCAATGGTAGAGGGGTTGGAATGATCTTTAAGGTCCTTTTCAACCCAAATATTTCTATGATTCTATGAATTACAAAAAGGCCTATGAAACAAAAAATGGTGTGGTATTAGTGGGTAGTGGACTTCATTCTCTAGCTCATTGTTAATTTCTTACAATAAAATCAGTTAAAATTTAACAAAATATCTTCTGATACTGTTTTGCACATTTCACTTACTTTTGAGAACCTTTTAGTTCCATACAGTGAATAGGAAGATCATTACAACTTACGTAGACACACATTTAATAATGAGTTTTCTTCAGAATTATAATCCTAAACTTTAAATCCAGCAACTGGAAAAAATGTACCTCAGTTTAAGAATTTAATTTTTTTTTGTTTGAATAGCATGTCAGTCTGTAATCAAAAAGGTGCACTTTTCATAAAGACAAGATGGATTCACATGTGCATTTTTTCTATAGATGATAATTCCACTCCTAAAATATGTCAGGGGAGAACATCTTTCTCCAGACCATTGGCTGGATCTCTTTCGTCTTCTGGGTCTTCCCCGAGGCACTACACTTGAGGGCTTGTTATTTGGAGACCTATTGAAAGTGACGGATGCCATTATAGAAAAAGCAATGGAACTTAAGGTATGAATGATTTCAGATAAAGGAACTATAGTTTTTTATGGGTTTTTTTATGCCATGTATGTTATTCGGTATGCATACAATGTTACTACTATAGGAGCAGAGCTTGCATTATATTTTTGAATGGAAAGTTTATTGCAAGCTCTGTAGTTTCATATGAAATCTGTTTTTGCTTTTAAATAGGATTTGAACTGTCGAGCCCAAGGTGAAATCACAATCAGAGAAGCATTACGTGAGCTTGAACTCTGGGGAGTCGGAGCTGTCTTTATGTTAACAGATTATGAAGATAGCCAAGGCAAGACTATCAGGCTTATTAAAGACTGGAAGGACATAGTCAACCAAGTTGGAGATCATCGCTGTCTTCTACAGTCTCTTAAGGACTCTCCATATTACAAAGGTTTTGAAGATAAAGTGTCCATCTGGGAAAAAAAGCTAGCTGACTTGGATGAGTATCTGCAGAATTTAAACCAAATTCAAAGGAAATGGGTCTATTTGGAACCGATATTTGGTCGTGGAGCTCTACCCAAAGAACAGGCTCGTTTTAACAGAGTTGATGAAAACTTCAGGTTAGTGTTATGGAGTGAGACTTATTTATTTCTAATATCTTTGACATGTGTAGTCTAGAACATTTTTCATGGTGAAAATATATGGGAACAATTGGAATATGTATGGAGAGGATGGTCAACAACAGTAATTCAGTTATATATGTGTGAGAGTGACATATCTGAATAAAGGTGGTAATGTTTTCATTTAATGTGGTACTTGTGAAGAAAGGAATCACATGAAACATAAAAGATCATAAACAAGGCAGCCAAACACAAGATTAGTCTTGTCAGCAGTAGAGGTGATATAATTATTTTTTCAAGAATCATGTTGAAGACAAGCACTATATTCACTAAGGAAGTACACAGATAGACTTTTGGGAGAGACAGATGCTTTATCTGATCCAAACAAGTCAAAAGATAAAAAGGGAGTAGATTTTAGACGTATAATAAGATATGTACCTTTATCTGTCTTGATTTGAGTTGAAATGACTTATAAGGAAGTAAAAGACAAGAACTGAATTTTCTTGGCTTGGAGTAGAGAAATTTTAGCAAAAACCAGTTGGTTTTAAATTACAGTGGAGAGATATTGATGTAAATTCTGCAGTATTTCATCATTAATACTGAAAACTGAAAGTTATATATCAACTCTTTATATTACTTCCCTGTGTGTTATTTTTTATTTACATAACTAATATATAATATTTAAATTACAATTATAATGGTTTTATTAATTATTCTTTTTTTTTCCTGTCAAGATCCATTATGTCAGATATCAAGAGTGACAATAGGGTAACATCACTGAATGCCCAGACGGGAATAAAAAATACCTTAATTACCATACTTGACCAACTTCAGAGATGTCAGAAATCTTTGAATGAGTTTTTGGAGGTACAGCCAACATTAACAGAGTTTTTTATAAACAATGTCAGTAAGTTTGAATTTAAGTCAACAAAACTGATTTATTTTGTTTTAATATAGGAAAAGCGCTCAGCATTTCCAAGATTCTATTTCATTGGAGATGACGACTTGTTAGAAATTTTAGGACAGTCCACGAATCCCCTGGTTATTCAGTCTCATCTTAAGAAACTTTTTGCTGGTAATGTATCAATCTTCATTTGTGAAATGTACTTTTTTAGAAATAAGCTTCTTCAAAGCTAAATAATATGTCGCAGGCTTTTTTTCCCTTTTTTTTCCACTACTAGACACTGAGGAATTAATGTTTGACTTTGACAATTTATTGATGTTTTCTGATTATTAGGCATTAATAGTGTGAGCTTTGATAAAGAATTTAAACACATAATTGCCATGAAGTCTGTAGAAGGAGAAACTGTGCCACTTAGAAATAAAGTTCTTCTGTCAAATGATGTGGAGGTAAGAAAATCACATCCCAGTCTGGTTCAAGCGTCTTTGAGAAATTAATTTGTAATGTAATTTTTGAGTTTTTTTTCATCTCTTTGTCAGGTGTGGCTAAACAGTTTGGCTTTGGAGATGAAGGAGACCCTGAAAAAAATGTTAATTGACTGTGTTGATGCTGGAAAAAAATCACAAGGTTCAATTGATCCGTCCCTCTTCCCTTCCCAGGTAGTAGTTCATCCAGTAATGCCACTATGTAGTCTTAGATTTACCGAAGAAGTTATTTTTTTTGAATCTCATAAAGAAGTATATATTTGGATTTGAAAGAATATAACCCTTAACAAATCCATTTTACTCATTTATTGTATAGAGAAATTCTTAAAGATATGTGGTCTTATAATTCCTTTGTAAACATTTGAAATATTCAAGTCTTTTACATGGCACCTGATCTAACATCTGTCTATTTATTAAATTTTATATAAATCTTGATCTTAGTTGGTATTGAATGTTACATGCAGGGCTGCGAAGACTTAGTAACAATAAAAAGCCCTTTTGGATCTGATTAAAGTAGGTAAGAGTTTCTGAAGCTTGCTCTCTCCCTCCCCCAGAATGTAGTTACTGTTACAATTTTCAAATTGTCACAATTGGTGGAATTTTTTGTTACAGACCTTTCTAGTTCCAAGTTTGACTGAACCTTCATAGCTCAAACAGGGCTGTTACACTGAATGTAAAGTAGTTAGAATATAAGTGGAGTGCTGGAAACTAGAATGCAAAGTATTGTAGTAGCAGATCAGTGACACAAGTGAGAGGTGCTCCTGAGAGTGTGTAATATGGGTTCAGCATGCCCACAATATGGTGGTTTCCATCTGACATATCATTTAATAGAAAAAGAGACTTATAAATTTTGCTACTGCATGCTTTAGAACAGCTGAAGGACTTGCTGTATTGGATTAGATTGCAAGTTTTGGCAAAATTTTGTCATGTTTTAAGATGGCTGTATTTGTTTTTAAAAGCATAGCAAATGTATAGCTTTGTTTAAAAATTATACAATAAAATATATAAAATATCAGACATAATAAGCAACTGCAAATTAATTGAAAAACAGATTGTTTTTTATGTCCTCTGTATTTATAAAATATAACTTGGATTTCTTTTTCCAAAGATTCTTTCCTTGGCAGAACAAATTCAGTTCACTGAAGACGTTGAAAGTGCTATAAAAAACCATAATCTGCAACAATTAGAATTAGAACTCATGGCTAAACTGGACCATTATACTAACATTGGTAGTGGCATAGAAAATACTGGGAGTACAGGTATAAAAATGATAATTAATATAAATATTTTTTTTATTACTTTAGTTGTGTAATATTTTACATTCTGTATATTTGAACAGGAAATTGTATAAATCCGTCTCTGAGTTCATAAAGTTGACTTACATAAGGTTGCTCATCTATTACTGTCAAGATTAGAGTTTTTAATATATCAGAATGAACAAAGGACTTTTATTTAGATTAAAAATTATCTTAGAGAATTTATGTATTTGCAAACATGTTTTCTTAACTTTTTAATAAGTTTCTATCTTTTGGTTTATATATCTACTGATAATTTGTTCTCATCTACTGATAATTTGTTCTCATCTACTGAACTGTGTCCTAGTGTTATGTATCACAGGAAGTGGCCAAAAAGCAGTTGAGGTACCTTAAGGCAAGCCAATATATACTGTACAACTGTGTGGGTAATTTTCTATGTTAGATGTATACATGTGCCTCTGAACTAATAATTCCTGTGTACCTCTGAGGCAAAACAAATAAGCTAGTTATTCCCAAGACATGATTATTCTGAATCTTATATACTCCAAATGAGTTTGAATAATTATGCCTCTGAGTGCTTATTCCTCCCTTTTGACCAGAGGTGGGACTTTGAGTGACCTGAGATATAAAGTTCCATAGTGTAGATTAGGTGAGATGGCTTTTACCTTAATATGTGTAAAAAGACTCAATTTGACATGTAGTTGACAGTCTTCCACCACATTTGTATCGCTGGTTACTGCATTAAATTCTAGTTTATAATTCGTGAACTGTAAACATCTGATACATTGCTTAGGAATAGGATTCATATCACCTACCTCCAGCAGTCTATGAGTGTGCTTCTTTGTCTAAGCTCCTTTTCTGTGGTCTTTCTATACCCATTTGAGAAATGTCATCAGTTACAGAAGAGTGTTCAGTCCATCTATTGTATAATACATTTACCGTAACTTTTTAACTTAGACAATAGGTGTGATTTTGAACTGAGTTTCTTGATTATTCCCACTTACTTTGGTTTAAATCCCATCATGGGGTGGTCTGGAAGCACACAAACTGGATATCTTTCAAAAGGAACTAAATTAAACAGTATGTTCTAAGAATACACTTAATGCATGCAATCTGCTAATGAACATTCATTACACATCACTTTAATTATTCTGAGTAAAATCTCCAGAGTGTATGTAGTGTGGGTTTCAGATCCTCAACAGATCACTCAATAGGTTACACCACCTCATTCCTGAAGTAAACATTCCTGAAATAAATTGCTTTGCAGAAAAGACTTTCTCTCTCTTTTGAATGTAGAGGCAGACAAAATCACTTCAAAATGACTGAAGTTACATGATGATTCACACTGTCTCTCAGGATCTCATGTTATGCTGTTTGCTTTAGAAAATAAAAAACCTTTCTATATATAATTCAAATAAAATCTAACTGAAATCTGCTGATAATAAAAATCAGCACAATGAACTTGAGAATGGGTGACGTGTCTTCCTTACTACACCGTTGTGATTTTTTTTCTTTTGTGTGTGATTATTTGCAGAATCAGGAATCCTTGAGCTTAAGCTTAAAGCTCTGATTCTTGATATCATTCATAACATTGATGTGGTGAAGCAGCTGAATCAAGCTCAGATTCACGATATTGAAGACTGGGCTTGGAAGAAGCAGCTGAGATTTTATATGAAAGACCAAAAATGTTATGTTCAGATGGTAGATGCTGAACTCCAATATACTTATGAATATCAGGTGTGGTATTTTTAATTTTTACCTAGTGGCTTTTATAGGTGTCCAACACTTTCTCATTTGATACCTGCTGCTGCTTGTCTCCCAACTGTTATCATTTTTTTTGAACTTTGTTGTGTCTTTAGCATGCTATTTCACAGAAAATATTAAAAGATAGGGTAATAATTTTCATTCTTGATATTGATGGGGTAAGTGTAAGTTGTATGGAAAGTAGCTGTATTGTCATATAAATATTTTCTAATATGATTGCTGTTTTTATATATCTGAATGCAATTTCATCTGTAATTCTAAAAAATTTTTGAACAATGCTTTGGTATTTGGTGTAAAATCAGGAAAACTTTGAAACAAATTCATAATCTAGGCTGTTGTGTAATATTTCCAAATTAATTAGTTATGAATGAAATTAATGGAATTACTTTGTCAATACTTTCTTTCTCTTAGTCAATATAATTTGTTTTGTTTCTGCAGGGTAATTCCCCTAAACTTGTTTACACACCTTTGACAGATAAGTGTTACCTAACTCTCACTCAGGCCATGAAGATGGGCCTTGGAGGAAATCCCTATGGTCCAGCTGGAACTGGGAAGACAGAGTCAGTAAAGGCCTTGGGTGGACTTCTCGGAAGACAAGTTTTAGTCTTTAATTGTGACGAGGTGAATATGGTTCTGTTTAATTTAGGAAATGGATATCTATGCCCATACTTTGTAAAGCGATATTATATTCTAGAAATAATATTAATAATATCAATTATTACAGAATTATATATTATTATATTTATTATTATTAGTGTTAATAATATTATTCTATAAATAATTTTGATAATTTATCAATTTTCATTAGAAATCTGTGGATATTTCTAATGACGTTTTTTAGTGGATGGGAAGACAGTCTTTTATATTTTCTTGTTATTTGAATTTTGATAGTATTCTTTTTAATTTTAAGGGCATTGATGTGAAGTCAATGGGGCGCATATTTGTGGGCTTAGTGAAGTGTGGTGCCTGGGGCTGTTTTGATGAATTCAATAGACTTGAGGAAGCTGTATTGTCTGCAGTATCCATGCAGATTCAGACAATTCAACACGCGTTGAAGAAACACAGTCCTGTATGTGAGATGCTTGGCAAAAAGGTACTGCAAAACTTACTTAAAAACTGAGTATTCTAACTAAGCATAGTCCTCCCAGCATTTCTCAATACTGTTTTATTTGACAATATACTATTATAATGCACTTCTAATGCTAGGTTGAAATGGACCATAATTCTGGAATTTTTATCACTTTGAATCCTGCTGGAAAAGGTTATGGAGGAAGACAAAAACTACCTGATAATCTCAAACAACTTTTCAGGCCAGTTGCTATGACTCATCCAGACAATGAACTCATTGCGGAAGTGATTTTGTATTCAGAAGGCTTTAAGGATGCTAAAATACTGGGTAGAAAATTAGTGGCTATTTTTAATCTAGCAAGGTAAGCTTTCACATACCCCACCTCCCCCTAGTAAAGTTACCTTTTTAATTCTCTTCCCTTCTACCTCTTAAATCTAAACAGTATATCATGCAAATCTCTGTGGATACTAACTTAACATAGAATTAAAATACTGCAATATATTGAGAGGTTGAGGTGTGAAAGTGTATGGAATGCAATTATAATCTCAAGGGGACAAATTGCTGCTCCCCTAGTATGTTCATTAAATATAAATGTGAGCATGTGAATGTTCAGATGCGTTGTGTTGATTTTAGGCTCTTGAAATTGTTGAAATGCAAGTTAACTATTTGGTTAAAAGTATGCACATTAGAAAATACAAAAAGTTAGAGGTTATAGTTAGTACTGTTAGGCACAATAATAAATACATTAGCTGTAGAATATAACCCCTCTGAAAATTCAAGAGTGTCATTCCTTGTATCTGAAATGCATTTCAAGTGGCACTACAAATACTCATCAGTTTCTCTTTTGCCCAGAACCTTATTAAAAATATGTTCATTCGCCAAACCAAAATTTCAGGCACTGTAACCTAAAGATTATTACAATATTGTTGTTTTCAAATTTAGGGAGCTTCTGACACCACAGCAACACTATGACTGGGGTTTACGAGCATTGAAGACTGTTTTGAGAGGCTGTGGCAGCCTTCTTCAACAGCTGAAGAAAAGCAATGCAAAGCAAGAAAGTAAGATTGCCCATGCCAAACTTTTGATTCTTTAGGATCTTGTACAAATAGAATTTACTGCCGACTTCTTATTCACTAGAGTTTTGAGAAGCCATGGCTTGGATCTGGAGGCAATTTAGAAAAGAAAAAAAAAATCTGTGAAAGCCCACCTTCACTAGGAGATCACAAAAGACTGTTGTCATATTGTAGATTGAGCTTTTCTGTGATGATAAGAACATAAACACAGGACTTCATTCTGGAAGGATTTTGAATGATTCTTAAAGACTTTTGTTTTCGTTTGGCTTAGAACAGGAAAGTTGATCCTCTGATGCTGCAATTATTCATAAGTTTTCAGACTATTTTGTTTCTATTTGAGGTTTGCAAAAATTATCATATGGTATTAGATTCAGATAGGTAGACTGAGAAAAATATAAGGACAGGTAGAAATGATAGAAATATATTGGACTAGACTGAGTTAATATATTTTTTTAAGCTTTTGAATTATTGTTGTTTGGGTGTTAATTGAGTGGGAATTAAGAGTGTGGAATGGATGAGCATTTCACATATTTAGGAGACAACTACTGTAACCTGTTTGTTTAAATGGCATATACCTGAAAGTTTACATATCTTAACGTAAAAAAATGGTCTGAAAACTTTAAAGAATTTGTACTTGACTTTAGTATGGATCTACCAGAGAAGGATTACCAGTGATGTGTTTTAGGTCACATTCCTATCACTGTTTCTTGCTATGACATTTTAGCTTAATGTTTAGATATGTGAAATCTGCTGAAATTTTTTCTGGTTTAAAACATAATTTTCAATAACTCTGCCGAAGGCAAGGTGGATGGATTTAACTTATGATTTCAATCCAGAAATTTTTGTTTCTATTTGTTTGATTGTTTTTTCATGCCCTACTTCAAGAAGCTTAAGACATTTCCAACAAATGCAATTGCCTGTTTCTTTATGTTTGCTTGTATTTTTGAGTCAAAATCCTTGGGCATGGCAAAATGCTACTTAAATTTTGTATTGCTTCCTTTAGTAAAGCAGTTCAACCTTTCTAAATCAAGTTCCTTAATGTCAATGTTTTTCCTGTTAACTGTTTATCATGCTATTTAGAAAAATTACCTGTAGAAGCACTTGTATTTAGGACATTTTTCAGTCTGAAAAACTTTGAACTTATTCCAGACTTTAGAAGGGCATGCTAATATTTAACCTCTGGAACATTGGGAAAAAGACACAGGAAGAAGGGAAGTTAGAGAATGGACACTTTCTGTCCCCTGTGTTGAATCTGGACATTCTGGTTTTGGGCAGTCACACTTTCAGAAGGAGGGGAGAAACACAGGATAATTTTCACCTGTCATGTTTTACATGAGAATGTAATTCAATTAAAAAATGAAAATAACTGAGAGATGAGAACCCTGTGCCATTCCCACCATGAGTATCTGTTCTTCTCTCAGAGTAAATAATTTATGTGACTTTTTTCATTCTGATCCCAAAAATGCTTACATTTCCATAGTATTTCAGATTCAGGAGTAATTGTGGAAAGTGTTTACTTCTGGAATATTCATAGTTAATTAGGATGCACTTGAAAGATGTGACTTCAAACTGCCTCTAGCAGAGTAAGGTCTGGAATCCAGATTCTTAATTTCTTTCTTAATTTCTTTAGCAAGTAAGCTACTGTGATAATCATTAGGCTATTATCTACTTTTTGACCAGCATCATAACCATCTCATATCTGTATGAATACATTTGTGGGCATATATTATACTTACAGTAAAGCACTTGCCGAACTTCCTAGTAGAGTGGTACATGAACTAGAATGAAGTCTGTGCTGCGATTCTACTTTCAATGTCTTTGCATTCCTTTGAATGCTGACATATTCAAAGGAAAAAAACCCCCAACAAACAGCTTGGACTGATCTGTCCTCTTTGTTTTTATTTCCAGTTAATGAAAGTCACATGGTGGTTCAAGCTTTGAGGCTTAATACCACGTCAAAGCTTACGTTTGCAGACTGCGCACGTTTTGATGCACTGGTTAAGGATGTATTTCCTGGCACCGACTTTCAAGATGTGGAATATGCTGAGTTAACTACAGCTTTACATCAAGTCTTTGAAGAAGCAAACTTAGAAATTATAAGCACGCAGGTAAGCACCGTCTACAGCAACAAAACGAGTTATTCTGAATTAGAACTTATTTGTCACATTGAATTAATTTCTGTTTTCTTTTGAAATAAATCTTTTATAAAGAAGTGAGAATAACTGATAGTTAGATTCTAGTTACATGTATATAAAAAATTGGATGTGTGTTTGAAGCACGTAGATGTCACTGAAAGTAAAATAGTTCAAGGAAAATTAAGATCTGAACATGTGACACACAGTTTCATTCAAGCCAGGTACTAATGTCAATGAATATTTTGAACAGTGAAAGAAGGAAATATGTGAATATTTGGTTTTATCAAACAGTTCTTTGTCATGTTTTTGGTTATTTATTGTAGAACTAGATGAAGTTCTGTGACTAAGGATTCATAAATTGCTCAGTAAAAATATGCCCAAAGATGGCTAATATTTTTATTTTAATAATTTAGTGAAATGCTTCTAACATGCAAAATAAATTTCTTAATATTCTTTAGTAACATAATTTTAATTATTTCTGCAAATATCGTTTCAAAATTTAAAATTATAACAAGAAAATGTCTGCATGCAAAGTAAATTGGAAAAACATTTAAAAAGAACGTGTGATGTAGCTTTACAATTTCACATAACCATTATCTGTTTTATTATCTAGATCAAGAAGGCTTTGGAATTGTATGAACAGCTACGTCAAAGAATGGGTGTAGTTATTGTAGGTCCCAGTGGTGGAGGTAAATCAACACTTTGGCGGATGTTAAAGACAGCACTTGGTAAAACTGGCAGAGTAGTGAAACAGTATACAATGAATCCTAAAGCTATGCCTCGACATCAGTTGCTAGGCCGTATTGACATGGACACCAGAGAATGGTCAGATGGTGTGCTTACAAACAGCGCTCGACAAGTGGTACGAGAGCCCCAAGGTATGTCTGTGAGGAGTTATACATCATTATGCCTAAATTACTGAAATGGTTCATTTTCAGTTACATTTTTATATTGTATCATCAGTTGCGGATAGCATAAGGTAAGAAAACCTTCTGGTAACAATTGTAGTCAGGAGCCCTGATACAGACTTTCCAAATTTTTTTATAAGAAAACAAAAATAGGCACCAGAAGGTAAAGCATGTAAGGTATATCTTGATAGAACTTTTGTTTAAATTATAATGAAGAGAGAACTAAATAATGTTAAAATAACAAGGGCTGATATTTTTAAGTTGTTTTCTTGTTTTTTTTTTTTTTATTTTTGTGCCTGGAAATAGATATTACTTCATGGATAATTTGTGATGGTGATATCGATCCCGAATGGATTGAATCTTTGAATTCTGTTTTGGATGACAACAGATTGTTGACTATGCCCAATGGAGAAAGAATTCAGTTTGGCTCAAATGTCAACTTTATATTTGAAACTCATGACCTTAGCTGTGCCTCCCCTGCTACAATATCTCGAATGGGAATGATCTTTCTGAGGTAAGTCCTGGGAGTATTACATACTTTCAAAGTAAGCAAATATACTTACTTTTCTTGAAAGGTATTCTCAAGTGGATGGAACAGTTGATTGTAGCTTACACTTACAAAACCAATCACTGGGGAAGTTTGCTTCAGGTTGTATGTCCCTTCTGTGTTGTTATGTTATAATCTTTTGGCTGATACACCTCAGACTTCTTCAAAAAGACATGGTGGATTCTTTGTTTTTATATGACACTTGAAGAGCCCAAGTATGGGTTAGAAATTATTAAAATATCTCCCTGAACTTTTTCTGGAATTTTGAACCAGTCCATTTAAAGGTGTGGATGCCTTGTGTTTATCTGAATCTTGTTTTGTTTTGGCTTAGTGATGAAGATACAGATCTTAATGCTCTGATAAAGTCTTGGCTAAGAAGTCAGCCTGAAGAATGCAGGTACAACCTCGAAAACTGGATTGGTGACTATTTTGAAAAGGCTCTAAACTGGGTTGTAAAGAAGGTTAGTAAATGAATACTTAAGCAAATATCAGCTTCTGTTAAGTATGATCTATTTTTGTAATTTAACACTAAGAGATAATTCAGATTAATTTTTAAATTGTTATTAAAAAAATCTCTACTTTTTTTATAGAATCATAGAATCATAAAATATCTTGAGTTGGAAGGTTCCCATAAGGATCATTGAAGTCCAGTGCCTGGCCCTACACGGGACGACCCCAAGAATCACAGCATGTGCCTGAGAGCATTGTCCAAACACATCCTGTACTTTGGCAGGTTTGGTGCTGTGACCACACTGGTCACAGCACAATGGAGCTGTTTCCTTAATAAAATTAATACTGGAACTGTTCTAATAAATTTCCAAAAACTGATTGCTGTACTTAAAGTTTTGAAACATTCAATACCATTTAAACTAATAAAAACAGATATTAAGGTTCACAGAAATACATGCATTGCAGTATTCCATACCAGCTATTTTTCTTTATGTTTTCAAGGATTTGAAAGACTTGATAATCTAAACTAAAAAAGTGAAGAAATTTTCTAGATCGATGTTATTGTCTATAACACAAAAATGGCTAAAATTTGAAAAGTTGCACTCTGAAAACTGAAGCTTGTTAAAGGTTGAGGAGAAATTTAATGCTAGATACCTAAAAAGATTGATAGAGACATATCTAAAAAAGTATTTCTATTGTTCAGAATGCTAAATTATAACAGCTTACACTAATCTGTCCTGGAATTAAGTATATAACTTCACCACTTTAGGATTCTACTCAAAATCTTAACTGAAAAATGTTTTAATAGGTGAAAAGTAATATGTAATTAAAATATTAAAAAAAAGGATAGTTCAAAACTTTGTAGGTTATCTGAATTCTGGGATGTATATCATGATAATTGGTTTGTATATGCTAGATTTTCTTAAGGACTCTAGATGTTTCCCAGCCTCCCCTTCTTCTGAAGGAGTTGGATTTGCATTGATCAAGTAGCTGATATTGCACAAAATATTATTTAGGAGACATCCCCACCCACTGCTGTGGCCACTAAGCTAGTCTTTAGGTGATCTGCATTATTTCCCCTTGGGTAACTTATATGGACCTGTTATGGTTTTGTTATTATTTTTCTTCTTGATTCTTTCACCCATTGTGACTTTTAGACTTCTAAAGTATCTCCAGGTAGATAAAGATAAAAATTTGATCCCAAGGCTCAAATTCCCTTTGGTGCTAAAGAGCAAAGTTCAAAAATGATCTGTTCAAAAGAAAGAATTCTGGTATACAGTCATGTTTATTTCTTATAGATTCTGAAAATCTGTAAGGAAAGTTCTGATTGCTTATCCTAAATTACATCAATTCGTAGTCTGCAATTAAAACCTCCAAATCAATTCTTAGAAATAATTTAATGTCAAGTGAATTTTCTGGAACAATAACACTGCTGAGATCTTTCCTTATTTGTGGAAGTGTCAAAAAGCAATGAGTAATAACAGTCTACTAGCAATACATCACATTTATATTGAGAAATATATTTAAATCTACTACAATTTGTAATTTACAGAATGACTCTGTGGTAGAAACAAGTTTAGTTGGAACTGTGATGAATGGACTGTCTCATCTTCATGGGTGTACTGATCGTGGACAGTTTATTATTAACTTGTTACGTGGTCTTGGTGGCAATCTCAACATGAAATCACGACAAGAATTTGCAAAAGAGGTAATCTTTGTGCTCTAATTTGATTGTAATCTCTGTTGTCTATAGGGAAATAGCTGAGAAGTAAAGGAGTGTTTCATATGTCACTGATAGACTGCTAAGTGCATCCATCCCAGCTAGGAAACCTCTGTCCATACTGCTTTCTGCAAGGACCCACTATAGCAGACTGTGTGTGTCTATATGTATTGTATATGTAATACAGATTTATTTTTGTGGATTTTTTCTGTTCTGAAGGCTTGAAACGATAATGTGAGGACTTCGTTGCACCTCATTAGGGAGATGTTCTTAGAGCATTACTTTGAGGTTGTGTATTGTATGTGCTGGTGTGTGATTCTCTGTGTAGATACTTGAGGGCACAAGAGCTAGGCAACAGTATTAGAAAACTCTGTGTGTATGCTGGTCCATAGTCAGAAGGTTGACCCTGGAGATAGATATTTCCACAATCACACTTGAGTTTGTGTTGGAGAGAAGAAAGTAGTTCCTTCCAAAAGGCAGTCAGGAGCTATAGCATATATAGTGGGCAAATGATAAAGGTGTAGACTCAGCCTTAGGAATTAGTTATTGATGCATGTGAAGGAGTTATCTCATTCTTACAATTATTATTGTTATTATGTTGCCTAGTCTAAAAAAAAATTATGTATAGCTTTCCAAAATACAATTTGTTTGAATTTCTCTATATTATGAAAAGTGGAAAAGTAATACATTACTATTTAGGTAAGGACTTAAAGCAAATGCATGACATGATTGAATTTTCAGAGGCAGCCTTAAACTATCAAAATGTGATTTTACAGAATTATTCTTTGAACATTCTTTAGATTAGCTTGAAATGGTAGATCTTGTTGTTAGGAGCATGGATTTAATTGAAGTTTTATTTTTATTTTTTTCTAAAGCTCTTCAGTTGGGCACAAGAGTCTCCACCAGACCCGAGGAAGCCCCTGGACACATATTATGACACTGACACTGGACAGCTAACGCTGTATCAGCTGAAAAAACCTGAAAATCTAACAGCTGATGACTTCAGTAACCTCCAAACACTTCCTGTCATTCAAACTCCTGACATGCAGAGAAGTTTAGATTACTTTAGGCCCTGGCTAGACATTAATAATAAGCAGCCATTTCTTCTTGTGGGTCCTGAAGGATGCGGAAAGGGGTAAAAAATAGTTCCTATTTTAAGTAAAATATACTTCTAGTTATTTGACAGAATTTGTAATATTTTGTTATAATGCTTTTATAATAAGACTTTCTGATAGAATATCACTTGTGTAGGTCACTAATTAAACAAACGTTCTGTAGTGGCAAATAGATAAGTTCTTATGAAGTTCTACAGGGAAAGTTCAGACTGTCAGTATGCATCTAAGACATCTGAAAGTGGCTTTTAGATATGAAACAGGACCTTTGGAAAACCTGTGCTGTCATGGAGCAACAGCTTTAGGCACGAGGTATCCAGTTTTATTTCAAGAGACACTAGGTGCCTGTGTACAGGCTCCTTCTCTTGCCCATATTAGGTTCCTTATTTAGGTGTGTTGGATCACTATAATCAAGGTATTTATACTAGCTGTTTGTTTTGTGTAGCTGTGTACACTACACTTTTATTGAATTTTGTGAATAGGAAATAGCACAATTTTAAAGGCAAGAATGTTGAATTCAGCAAGCCTCATGCTCCACCTATTCCATTAATACAGGATATAGTATATGCATTTTAATTCAAAAACTATACAATATATTTGGATACACAGCGGTTTAATTTACTTAAGTTTGTATGTATGTACATGTTTGCTTTTCTAGGATGCTGCTTCACTATGCATTTTCTCAACTCCGATCCACTCAGATTGCTACCATTCACTGCAGTGCACAAACTACTTCTCAACATCTTCTACAAAAATTAAGTCAAACTTGCATTGTAATCAGTACAAACACTGGGCGAGTATACAGACCAAAGGACTGTGAAAGGCTTGTTTTGTACTTAAAAGACATCAATCTACCCAAACCTGATAAATGGGGAACAAGCACTCTCGTGGCTTTTCTACAGCAGGTGAATACTTATGTCTGTTATTTAAAAAGGCACTTAAGTATACTGTATATAATTTAGTGTATGTAGTAAATAACTACATTGATTATTTTCAGAGTTAACACCCTGCATCTGCATTGGCATTAGTTTTGCATCTACTTGGGTAGACTATGTAGGTGTCAGCCAGAAATAAGATACCATTTTTATTTGCCTTATTTGTGTAAGTAAATAAAGACAGTGCTTGTCTCAATGAGTTATAATGCAATAGGCATATGAATGACAAGAAAATCACCAGGAGTAGTCAGCGTGGATTCACTAAGGGTAAGTCATGTTTGATGAGGGGAGAGCAGTGGATATAGTCTACCTGGACTTCACTAAGACTGTTGATGCTGTCTCCCAAAAGATCCTCACAAAAAAGCTGTTGATACGGGCTGCAGGTAGTGAGGTGGGTTGAAAACTGACTGAAGAGCCAAGCCCAGAGGGTGGTGATCAATGGCACAGAGTGTACTTGGAACACAGTACCTGTTTAACATCTTCTTTAATGATCTGGACAATGAAGTCTGCAGCTGATGCAAAACTGTGAGGAGTAATACACCTCTGACAATTAAGAAAAGAGAAATAATGGTATACTTATAACTATTTTATTGTATTTTATTTTGTATGATATTCTGCTGACTTTATTTTAATGAAATATTTATTTAATTATTAAAGGTTCTTACATATCAAGGATTTTATGATGAAAATCTGGAATGGGTCGGTTTAGAAAACATCCAAATCGTGGCTTCCATGTCAGCTGGAGGAACATTAGGAAGACATAAACTTACCTCCAGATTCACTTCTATTGTTCGTCTCTGTGCAATTGAGTAAGTATGTGAAAATTAGTCTTAACTCTCAGAACTCAGATTCAACCCCTGTTTATAAGGCCCTTGCTTCATGTAGTCTTTACCAAGCTGTGGCTGTTCTATTCTTTCATATTTTCCAGCAGTTTGGGGTCATCTGATTTGGTGCTGTTTGGTGCCTCTTGGCACTAGAAGCCAGCTAAGAGGAATCTGTCGCTCCCTGTTGATAGCAAAGTGTTTGAAATATGTTTCTTTTTGGATGATTTTGCTTTCAGTAATCTGCTTTCTGCAGCTTTATATTAAGGTGCTGTTTGGTTACAAAATTAGAGAAATTGAAAAGAAGTTTATTTGTTTGTTTTTAAGTTTGAGTACATCAACAGATGTATTTAGAAATTTCTGACTGGCCTGTTGCAATAAAATGATAATTTTACTTAGCTGCTGGATGGAAATGCTATTCATTGAAATTTCTTAGTAATTGTGTATACAAGTTTGACTCATTTTTAATTAAAAAAAATTGATAGTCCATAATGATTTTTTTTTTTTCTTTTTAGCTATCCAGAAAGAGAACAACTGCAAACTATTTATAGTGCCTACTTGGAACCTGTACTACAGAAAAACCTAAGGAATCACCCTGTTTGGGGTTCTTTACCAAAAATACATCAGCTAGCAGGATCTATGGTTCAAATATACGAGCAGGTAGGGAAATATTTTTTCTTTTTTCAAGGAGTTGGACAATTCAGGCATTTTTAAAAAAAATAATTACCTTTTGATATAATAAGTGAATAAAAAGGTTTATCAGTATTAAAATCCAAGTTTATTTATTTTTAATGAAATTGGTATCAATGTTAGAGCTACTTATTTGCAGAGAATCCTGGGTATTAGAGGTAAACTGAGTAAGCGGTAAGTACTCCTGCTTTCCCACAGATTTATTTTAGGATTTTGGTGTGCATCTTAACCTTTCTATACTTTCAGTTCCTGATTTATAAAATGGGGATTAATAGTGTTTTCCCACTTAATGGGTAAGGAGGAGACAGTGCAACAGATTGTTATGTGCCCAGTTGTTGTGGATGCTGTTATGAATAGAGAAGAGAGATATATGGGTGGAGTGCTTTACAGACATCAAGGACTAGCTATTAAAATTTTACACTGTTAAAAATAGATATTTAGACACGGAATTTCATTTTATCCTCCTGCTTAAAATTTTGTGGACTTCTATCAAGCAAAACACTTAAGTACTTGCTTTTCTTAAACAGTACATAACCTTACTGGGGTAGGTACTGTGGGGATGTTGGTGCTTGCTGTATGTTCCAAGAATGTATGCACACCCCCATCTAGGCAGAACCATGATACAAAACCTATCTTTGTGACTGGAATCTGGGTTTAGTTACTCACTGGCATGCACCAATTAGCAGGAGTTTCATATGATGTTATCAATGTATTCTAAGAAATCTGAGTTTAAATCTCATCACATGATGATCCAGTTACTGATGATGGCAGGTTTTTTTTGAGTTAAAGCAGTTGTATATTCAAATATCCTCTCTGGGAAAAGAGTAAGTATGAAGTCTTTTGCAGTGAGAAAGTGTTACTAATTTAGGTAGGTGTTTATTACACTTCTATACTTCCTTTGCATTTCATATTTAGTATTTCTTCAAAAAATATGTATTTTGTCTAATAATACTGCACTAACAGTTCTAGGTGACGTATGTGGTTGTTTCCATCAGAAATGGTAAAGAATTGTTCTGAGAAAATCTATTTTGGTCAGAAAACAACATTTAAACAAGGAGCCCATTAATAAAATATCTAAATATATACCAAATAGAAAACTAATTTATCTGGTATTTTAGAAAAAGTGCTTTACATTTTAAAACATCACTTTTTTTCTCCCCCTTAACTCCCAATTTTAGGTACGAGCAAAATTCACAGTTGATGATCACAGTCATTACCTTTTTACACCATGTATTCTTACTCAGTGGGTTCTTGGTTTATTCAGATATGATTTAGCAGGTGGTAAGTCACTTACTTGGTTTTCATTGATAAAGTGTTCTATAATGGCCTAAGTTATTATTGATGTCAGTCGTACTGTTGACTCCACATGCAATTCATTCATCTTTTAAAATTGTGAACTATCTGTAATTCAGTAGAGGGAGAAAAATGCAAAACAGTTCACTGCATAAAATTAATAGAATATGTTTCATTTTATCTTATAATGATCCATAAAGATATTATTAAAAAGCACTTCATAATGTTTACTTTTTCTCTTCTTTCTTCCTTACCAATGCTTTCCTGCTGGTATGTAATTTCACTTGCTTATTTTCAAGCTCATATTTTGAAATGGAAATTTGAGAATTTATTATAAATATATAAAGTTATTTCTCTCCTTAAATTTTGTAGGATCATTGATACCAACTGCAGACTATGTACTGGAAATTATTGCTTATGAAGCACGTCGTTTGTTCCGTGATAGAATTGTTGGCATGAAAGAACTTCATGTATTTGATAATGTCTTGATGAAAGTGTTTCAAGGTGATTGGGGCTCGGATGTTCTGGACAATATGCCAGGTAAACTATTTGAAGCATACCATACAAACTTGCAATATTTGTTTAGGAATGGCCTAATCAAGTCAGATAGCATATGAACTGGACACCTAAAGTTTCGAATGTTTCCTTTTATTTTCACAGATACCTTCTATGTAACTTGGGGAGCTTGTCAAGAGGCATTCATCACACCAGGACAGGCACTGCCACCGTATGGGAGGCCACTTGGCAGACTAAACTCAACAGACCTGAAAGATGTTATTCAGAAAGTGAGACACATTAAAGAATATACACAGCAAGGGTTCACAACAATGATTCGAGACATTTTTTGCAAGAAGTAACATGCAAGCACCAGTTTAGGGTGGGGTCTGCTTCTTGTTCAAGGGATCATCTTTTACATTTGGTGAAGTGAGGGAAGGTTTGTGATGCTATGTGGCAGGCAGTAGGAAGTATCATGTAGCAAGGGTTTTTAATGAAAGGGCATCAGTTGCATTTGCTGCTGATTTACAACAGCTTGATGAACCAATATTTTGAAAAACATTTATCTCCATACGTTTGTGTAGTGTTTGAGTACCTAAGTGTTTTATTAAATGTTTACTTTTTGAATTTGTGATTTGGTAATGTATTGATGGAGAGGCATGAACATAATGCTCACAGGCCATTATGGTCGGCAATATGTCAAATTTATTATTTAAATCAGTTAACTTTTATACAGTTTAGTTTGTTTGGGGCACATGCTTACAACAAGGTGATTGGATAGCTCAGTCTGTGCACGCGTCTCATGTCTCCAGTTCATTGGACCTGATGTTCTGTCCACGCAATCTGAAATCATCCTTGGCATAGAAACCTCTTTCTAATTAATTTGCTTTTAGGGTTTTACTAAATTTGCAGGTGTTTCATTATCTTCAGTTTCTCAAGGTTTTCTTTCTATAAACATATTATGTTCTCAAACCTTATAGTTAGACACACAGCTAACAAGTATAAACATCACATATTTTCACACAGTCTATAAGTATAAACAATACATGCTTGCCACTTCCATGGCAAGCAAGGCCTACAGAGTGCAGGAAAAATTGTTCAGAGAAATCTCTCTGTTCCGGCGACAGTAATGTAATTTTTATTTGAAGAAATACAAATGGACTGTTTGGAGATTTGGCATGCTTTTAAGCAGTAAAGTACAAAAATTGAGCTTGATGAGGAAATGCAAACATTTTAATTCTGCTAGGGTATCTGATTTTTAGGATGAGAGCTTTGAGATCGTGTCCCTTAATAGTGTTTGATGGATTGCTCTTGCAGATGGGAAACTAATCCCTCTCCTTGATTGCCAACTTATGACCAGTAGACTATATGGGAAATGATGAAATTCAATAGCCTCAATTAGCAGAGAATTTGTTGTTGGTTTTTTTTTTTCTCCTGACTACACAGTTACATTGGGCTTCAAAGAGGTTTTAATTAGTATAACAAGGTCAGAATTTGATTTTAGGATCTGTTATTGTGTGTATTTCACTATGAATTTTCATAATCTGCAATTATGCAGCAATTAGCTGCCTAAAACATCTTCTAAGTTATTAATTAATTGATCTGTAGTCAGAGACAGCTCAGACTTTGTTCTGGTCCATTATTCAATTTTAATTAGTTCAGTTGTAGATTCCTGTTTTAATATATCAAAGACTTCTAGGGTATCCTGGTGCTGGGGGTAGTGTGAGATGTTCATTACTGGTACAGGTATCTAAATTCTGTCACATAAATAATTTATTTGTAGTGAATATCAGTGTGGTGTCTTAAGCTTTCAAGCCCTTCTTTTCTAAACTTTTGAATGTTGGATGCTTTCATATCTCACTGCTTTTATTTATTACTAGTAAACACATTTCTTTTTTTCTCTCTTTTTTTTAATAGGGTATCATTCATTATGGACGAGACAAAAAAGAGATAGAGATTTTACTGTTCCAAGAAGTCCTCAGTTATATGTCTAAAGTGGACAGAGTGTTAAGTTTTCCTGGAGGATCGCTTCTTTTGGCAGGACGGAGTGGTGTAGGTCGTCGAACAGTTACCTCTTTAGTTAGTCACATGCATGGAGCTGTTCTGATTACTCCCAAAATTTCCAGAGGTTATGAGGTGAAGCAGTTCAAGAGTGATCTTAAATATGTAAGTCACTCATTGTCTTCCATTTTGTAATGTTGAGGTGTATATTAAAGAAAAAAAAAGAATATGGGAATTTTGAAGGACACAGAAGTGTTGTACGAAGACGTATTTTAAGAGAAGCAAAATGGCAACAGTCTAAATGAAACAAGTAGATTTTTAGAAGTTCTCTATATCTAAGTGTGTATACTGTTCTTTATTTAATTGATTGAAACTCCACTTTTTTTAATACCAGAATTCTCTTTGAGCGTTGTGGACTTCATAAATTCAAAGTTTGTGTGAATATACATTTTTCATGTATATTTTTTCGTATTTGTATATATTTTTGTTTTCTGTCTCCACTATGATCTGCCAGTAGCTGAATCAAGTAAAATTTTAGTGACTGATGAAAGGGAACATATTTTTTAAAATCAAATGCAAACCTTGAATCAAGAGTTTCTCATTACCTTCAGCAATGCTAAAGAAAATTCTAGAGCTATGCCTACACAAAAGAGTGATACAGTTTTATCATTGAATCATATGTGTAAATATACTCTATGAAAGAGGCTTTTTTAATTTTAATTTAATTTTTTCATTAGCAAGCTGTACATCTAGGTAGAATGCTCTTTATATTTGATATCTCATATAACTGAATCACCTAGAAATCTTTTGTGGAGAAAATATGTATGTCATATATAATCAAGGAAAGATTAAGATCCTTGTTGGTCCCTTCCAATTCAGGATATTCTATAATAATCATTATCTATTGAACAATACATATGTTCCATACACTGAGATTTAAATGTCTTTCCTGCTTCTAGGTGATGGAGCTTGCAGGCATTGAAGCACAACAGGTGGTATTGCTGCTCGAAGACTATCAGTTGGTTCATTCCACATTCCTGGAGATGATCAACAGTTTACTGTCATCAGGTGAGGCAAGTCCAAGAAGATTAATGGTTTTAGTTTTACTGTACAGGGTTAGCTAATGGGGCAGAATAAGATGATGTTTTCTAACTTTATATCTCTTATCAGACAGGTTAGTTGCCTTGCTATGTTGTTTTAGGTAGAGTGCTTGTACATGAGAACCTGACTCAAAGTTCACTTAGCTGTCCTTTAACCTACCCGATAGTACAGGTGCTTTCAGTTCCTCTAACTTGTTTCAAGGGAGTTCTTTATTATAGTGTAACAACAAAATGAGAATGCATTCTACTCTACAGCTTCTGTTTTATAATAAAATTCAAAAGTGAGAAGTGTTCCAATTCTTTACTAGATTGTATAGGTTGAGTCCTTTATTGAAATGAACACCAGCAAAGCTCACTTTTCTGAAAGGAGTGAGATGATAAATAATAATAACAAAAGTGACTTTATTTTGCTGTCCAGCTTTGTTCCTGGATCACAGAGATCATTGAAGGACTGAGTCTAACTTGCTAAATGCTTTTTTTGATCTGCAGTAGTTTAAGAGCTGATTGATAAGAGCACCAGATTTTCCTGTCTCTCAGGTGCAACCCCAAATCTCCTTACAGTATCAGATTTTTGTCATCCACTGTTTAATCTCTGTGTCTGAGGATCTAAACAACTACTCACTTTCACATTACTGTGTCCTGGTATATGACAAACTCTGGTTTGATTTGTTTTCTATGCAGTATTGGGTCAGCAGTCACAGATGTGTTTTCTGTGCAGTATTGTTTTGGGGTAGATTTGAATGAGCTTTTGAAATACATTTCAGCAGTATGACCAAAGTAGACTGTTAAATAGAATCACAAATTTGGTTTGTTGTTTTCATGATATCATGAAAAGAATGATGAAGTGCATGGGATGAAACTCATGGAAGTATGGAGATGAATACTGCCATAATCAAAATCTCTATAGAGAGGATTCAAGGGAATCCTTCAAGGGAATTTAAAGAATTATAGTGTATTTTATCTGACGTAAATTCATTCTTGAAACAGGAGAAGTTCCTGGGCTATATAAAACAGAAGAATTAGACCCATTGCTATCTCCTCTGAAGGATCAAGCCTCACAAGATGGATTTACAGGACCAATTTTCAACTATTTCACATACCGTATGTCAACAGAATTATAAGTTATAATTTATTCCGAAGTGTAGGAAGTGGTATAATAGTGGACAAATGATTTCTAACATGGTCCTTCTATTGTGTGCGGTTTTAACTTTCAGTTAATTATTGAATACCAGATAGGAATAATGATAACATTGTGATATTTGAGGGCACAGAACCCTCACTTTAAAATTTGTTATTCTATCTGAAATTTTGTATTTATGAATGTTTTACAAATGTTATGAAATCTGCTGTTGAAAGTAATTAGAAGGAAAAAAGGTTTTGTTCCCATTGTTTTCTGGTTTGTATAGCTTATATATATTTAGTACCATATATATATCTCTTGTATTTGCCTATTATACCTACAAATCACTTTGGATTCTGAGTAATCAGCAAGTTTACGGGTAGGTTTCTTAATTATTTTTCTTCCTCCTTAGACCAACAAGAAGATTAAATAGTTTACAAATAAATCAAATAATATGACTGAAAGAATATAAATGTTTACAGTCAAAGTTTCAGGCCCTGAAACTACTTCTAATTGGTTCTGTTGGTCTATATGAATTGGAATGAGAACTAGTGATATCTATTTAAATACTGTCAGCTCTTCAAAATTAAAACATACACTGTAATATACATAATTAGAATCCATGATACTAAATTAAGTTTTATTTATAAGCATTCCTGTCCTAGTGTGATCTGATATTATAGGCTCTTTTTTCCCCAGAAATTACCTTGTGATAAGTATTTGAAGGACACTAAATTATGTTGTATTTGCAATAAAATTACCATCATGTAGTCAGATTATTATGTACTAAAAATTTAATATGTTACTTTTTCTTAGGGATCCAACAAAATCTGCATGTTGTCTTGATAATGGATCCTACTAATTTAAATTTCACAGTAAACTGTGAAAGTAATCCAGCACTGTATAAGAAATGTCAGGTTTTGTGGATGGAAACCTGGTCAGAAGACAGTATGAAAAAGGTAAATTGCATTAATTGTGACTTATTTAAACTAGTATCTCCAAAAATAATGGAGCTTTGGTAAATAAGATAAAGATATTTAAAGTTGTGAAGGAATAATTGTCACTGTGCTTATTTAATTGATTTGTAAAGTCTTAAAAAGACAGAAAATTCCTCAGAACACTTAAATATTATTAGCATTATTATTTTACCAACATTATGTTTTATTCTCTTTGTGTGCTGACTTGAACAACATGCTGACAACTATGACTCTGATCAAACACAACATTTAAGAACAAAATAAAAATAGACTGCAAGCAAAATGGTAAAGCCAATTGTATCAGGTCTGTGTTGTGAGCTTTTGATAGTGGCGGGAGCTGCAGGGGTGGCTTCAGTGAGAATCTGCCAGAAGCTTCCCCTGTGTCTGACAGAGCTGATGCCAGCTAGCTCGAGGACAGACTCGCTGCTGGCCAGGGGCTCATCAGCAATGGTGGTAGCATCTCTGGGATAACATTTAAGAAGGGGAAAGAAGTTACTGCACAGGAACAACTGCAGCCAGAGAGAGGAGTGAGAATAGGTGAGAGAAACAGCCCTGCAGACTCCAAGGTCTCAAGGCACTGGAGCTGAGATTCCCCTCCAGCCTGTCGTGCAGACCATGGTGAGGCAGGCTGTCCACCTGCAGTCCACGGAGGTCCACAGTGGAGCAGAGATCCCTCTACAGCCCATCCAGAACTCCACACTGAAGCTGGTGGAAACAACTGAAAGAGGCTGTGACGCCAGAGGAAGCCCGTGCTGAAGCAGGCTCCTGGCAGGACCTGTAGATCTGTGAAGAGAGGAGCCCATGCTGGAACAGATTTGCTGGAAGGACTTGTAACCCTTCAGGGGACTCCTGATGGAGCATTTTGGACCCCATGCTGGACTAGCGGAAGAGTGTGAGGAGTCCTGTGCTGAGGAGGAAGGAGGGGCAGAGTCAGTGTGTGATGAACTGACTGCAGCAGCCATTCCCCATCTCCCTGCACTGCTGGGGGGAAGGTGTTTTGAAATTTAGTTATTTCTCTTTACCCTACTCTGATTTGTCTGGTAATAAATTAAACTTATTTCCCCAAGTCAAGGCTGTTTTGCCCATTACAGTAATCAGTGACTGATCTCTTCATGTTGTTAGCTTGACCCATGAGCCTTTCATAATGTATTTTCCCTCCCCTGTCCAGCTGAGGAGGGGAGTGATAGTCAAGCTCTGATGGGTGCCTGGCATCCAGCCAGGGTCAAACCACCACACCAACTATGCTGATGATATCTGTTTTTACTAGTATGTTAGACAGCTAGTTTTAAAATAGATTTGTTAGGTGTATATGAAATGCTATAGATCTAAGATTGCACTGTAAACCTTATGTTCTTGAACCTTTGCTAAGTGTTTTGCTTGATGGAACAGCGTCAGTGTGTTCTTTTTAGATTTAAAATCTGTTTATTTCAGGATGTTCACAGTGTGAGTTTGAGAAGCATGTATTACTTCTGTATGTTGAGATTACCAAATGCAGTACCCTGATAGGGGCAAGGGTGCCCACAGCGTTATGGCCCCAAGGTGAACCAGTGATGAAGCTGAGCATGTATTGTATTCTCAGTAGGCACACACACAAACACATATACAGCACATATATACATGTGATTCTCACACAGAACAACACAAACAGAAACCCTAAGCACAAACATAAACAGCACTGTTTTCATCACCCTGTTCCCCCATCTCTGAGTGATCTCAGTGAAGGTCAGTTAATGGGTAATATGTACATGTACAGAATGTGGATTAAGACTGTCTGATTTCCTCTTGAATTGTATATTTTTGAATCTTTGACATCTGTGCTATTGTAAGAGTCCTCTGAGAACTACTAGGTCATTTATACGGCCAGCAAAATTTCCTCTGCTTGAGAGAGCGAGAAGTTATCAGTGACATGGAAAGGCAGAATTTATCTTTCTAATCCTATAAATATTCTGTAAATTCCTTGTTCTGAGTAAATATATCATTTTCAGTCTTTCCAAATGAGAAGCTGGATTTAAGGTTGGTTTGAGTTTTTTTAATTTTAACTCAGATTGTCATTGTTCGTCATTTTCATGAAGAAAATCGTGGCTTTTTTTTAGATACCTGAAATGCTTCTCTATGATTCAGATGAACAAGAAAAGACTGGAAAAACACATAAGGAGGTTAAGAAAAAACATTCAGGTAATATTTGGGTAGACACACTAGTTACTATTACTTATTATTAAACACTTACTCAATGTTAGACACCAGATCAGTAATTATTGGGTCAGAACCACTGTGTGGGGTGTGTGGGTGGGAGTCTGTGTGGGGGGTGTGTGTGTGGGGGTGTGGGACTGTGTGTGTGTGTGTGTTGAGAGAGGAGCCCAAGCCTCCAGCTTTTTCAAACATCAAACAATTTCAGTATATTTCTTTCTGAGAAATATGCATTTCAAATGTAGTTGCATGTTGTTTCCCTGACAGAACTTTAAAAAAAGTATAGTCTTTGTGATATTTTTGGATGCCCTTAATTCGTATCTCAAAAAACATTCTATTGCTCTTCCTTAGTTATTTCAATGTGAGATAAAATTGAGTATAATATTATCTGTGTAACAAATGATGTTGTACAGGTGATTCTGATTTTCTGAAGTCATTTCTGGCAATCCATGAATCATGTAAAATATACGGAGCAACGCCTAGCAGGTATATGACATTCCTTCGTGTATACAGTACCATCAATAACAGTAAAAGAAGAGAGCTAATAAAAAGGCAGAACCACTTGCAGGTATGTGTTTAAAACACTTTTAACATATGACTTTTCAAAATACTCCCATATTTGGAAATGTCTTGTGTATTAATGGGCTGTAGCTGCTAACATGGTTGCGTGATGTGTCCTCTATTGGCATATGCTCACACTGTGATTTCAGGAGAGAAATATCATGAATCCTAATGCACTTGTCTGTTGAAATGCCTGAAAGGGAGAAAAGTGTTTGTCTTGTTTTGGTAATAGTTTTCCTCAAGAATGTATGAGACTGGGTATGTTTTGTGGCAGAGTAAAAAGTACTTGAAAGCACTGTAAACTTTTTCACCCATGTGTATTGGAATTGTGTTGCTAAAAACCCATCATCTTTCCATCAATTTAAGTCCCGCCTCTGCTTATATAAATGTTCTCTGTGTAGCTTCATATTCCAGCCCTTTCTTTATATCTTGAGAATAACTTCCTGCTTTGTAGGATTTTCACGTCCTAGTTTGACAGACTTATCTTTAACCTCATGGTGTTCTTGTGTAGCTTTGACCAAGATTCTTTTTGTTGTGATTGTCTTTCCTTTTGTGTTTTGGAATGATTTTAAATTCCTTTGGCACACATCAGACCTGTGGACAGTTCTGGACCAAATGCACAGGTGTCACTTTACTCCTGTTTTGTATGCATAACATCCTTATTTTTGAAACCCGTTTGTTATCTTTCCAATCCTGTTTAGTTCCCTTCCCCCAGTATATTTCTGGAAAGAGCTGTGTTGTCCTTTAGGACAACTTTTGTCTTTGCCTTTCTCCTGTCCCTTTCAGCTCCTTTTCTGTCACCCATGCTGATATTCTGAAACCACACTTGCAAATCTGTATTTTTTTCTTAAAGCATCTGTCAAAACCAAATTACTTCCTTGCCTTGTATTCTACTCTATTTTTACTCTGTCTGCCAATATTTTTCCATCACTGTAGTATGCAATTTAAGAAGATTTAAATTTGTAGTAATAGAAATTGCTTTTTTTTGAGTATATTTAGAATATAACTGGTTTGTTTGTGACAAGCACTCATTTACTTGTTAAATGCTCTGTTTAAATAAAAGTAATAATTTTCATGAAAATTAGAGATGTGTATCCTCAGTCAATACATCTTCCAGGTATTTTGATTCAAATATATCTTGAAATAATTCTATTATATAATTAATATAAAGTAAATAAGGTAGAAAATGTGCTTAAAGAAAATAGTTAATCTTAAGCATAATAGAGACTTTGTTTAATGTACATCTGTGTTCTTTAGAGTGTACAAATATATGGAAATAAGCTAATCTATTTCTTTTCAATTTGTTGAATTTTTATAGATTTGTTTTTAAGGGAGATATAATTACAATGAGTTAATATCAGTTAACTTAAATTCTACTGAATTATTTAGAAATAGATTATGTGCTAGTTACTGTTTTGTTAAAAGTTTGTTAGTTTGTGAATTTTCTTATCTTTTTGATGTAGTAATACATCTTACAGTGACACATCTTAAAGTGTCAGATCTCATTCTTAGGTTAAATAATACCAACAAAATGTAAATAATATCAAGAAAATGTGGAACTATAATTAAAAAAAAATAGAATAGTAGTCTACATCACTCTTAATTTGTCCATCCTATTTGTAACAAACCTTCATTTAAATCTGCTAAAAATTCACTGCTAAATATCTGCTTGTTTAAAACTTTTATAGGCAGGTGTTTCAAAGCTGAATGAAGCTAAAGCCCTGGTTGATGAACTGAACAGAAAAGCTGGAGAGCAAAGCATTTTACTCAAAACGAAGCAGGATGAAGCTGATTCTGCTCTTCAAGAAATTACAGTATCTATGCAGGTGGTATATACAATCACATCAAAAGTGGAAAAAAAACCCCAAAAACCAAAACAATTCTTTTCTGGTTTTGATCTCCATAACTGCCTGTGTTTTGTAATCTTTTCAAGTGTTACAAAATGTCATGCTTTTGCAAGAATTTGCCTAAGGGAAGACATGAGCCCTGAGGCTTGAATAAGGTTGCAACAGGACACAGGATTCTATAACTTAAATCATATTCGAACTGATCAAATAGGAAGAGATCAGTGCAAGTTTTGCACCTGAGTAGTGTTTACTGCTGTAGTTTAGTCTATCTGAAAGTTTTCCTAGAACTTCATAAATTCAAGCTGATGCGTTTTATGTTTATCACAGATAGGAACTTTCAATAAAATATGTACAGGTAGCACTATTTTAAGTAACAAATACCAGGAATTAAATTTGTGAACTCTTAGAAAGTGTGTATTTCATGAGGTCTGGTCCTCAGAATTTAACCTCAGAGAAGATTAAATAATACCTCCATGTTCATCATTCCTCGAATTTTTATTCTTCAGCTGAGAGGTAGACCTTTTTTCAGTATTCTGTACTTTCTTTAGTAATGTTTTCTCAGTCAAGTAAAATAATTGCACAAACAGTAGGTCTCCACATTGATACTTCCTGGAATCATAAACGTAGGTTAAGATGTAATGAATCTGCTGTCACTGCATTGGGTTTTTTTTGTTACTGACTTAGTCTGATTGGTTGGAAGCTCAATGCCAAAGACATTCTTTGTATGCAGTAAAGTAAATGCCTGGTCTTTTAAACCATTTGGTTCACAGTGCTTTGAAAGTGCATTGCTTCCATTTTTATGTGTCTTTTGCTGTTGGCAGTTTTTAGTACTTTTAGGCTCTATCTGCCTACTGTACGTGAATTTGAATAATGATGATTACCTTGGTGTGTTCACTGATGTCAGTTTTGAATCTGTGTCTGTTGTTATCTAGAAGAGTTACAGGTTATGTGGGTAGCACATATTACATTGTAGGACATAATCAAAGAATAGGTCAAAAGCAATGAAACATGATGGGCCCACTGACATCAGAAAAATTACAGTAGAATTTTGATTATTTAGATTAGCATAAAGTATAGGTGCCCTCTAACATTTTAATGTCACTTCAAATGTTCTAGTTTATGTAAGAGATAGTGCTCTAATACACAGAGACTCTTTTAATCTCCTTTCAGAGCAAGGCTTTTGACCTACAACTGAATTTTAAGGTTTTCTTATTCAGAGCAATCATTCAGTACATGTTCATTTGCATGAAATGTCTAATCTAGTTTCATGTAGCTAATGTTTTATGTATTTGAATGTAATCTTCAATAACATGCTGATCTACAGCTTGGGTTAAGTGCTCAGAGAATTATTATTATCTTAAGGTTTTCTGTGCTTATATGCATCCATTACCTTCTGCTGCAACTCAGCTTGAAAATTACTGGTGATAATAATGTATTATATATCAGAAAAACATAAACTCTGGGCTTTTTTGACTTTTATTTTTTAAGTACTGAGCTTAGAATGTTAGTCTTTTATGCATATTAAACATTTATCCTCAATGATAAAAGACATGTAGGTCCTTTTTATTGTTTAATATAGTAGGTATTAATTGTTGTACTGAAGTTTTTAGGATTGGCTTAGGATTGGAGATAGCTAATAGCTACTGTCTGCTGTGTGGTAGGCTCAGTAAAAATCCAGAAAAAAAAAGAGATGTAAACCCAAACAACTTACAATAGGCATGTAGGACATACGTATCCTTACAGACAGATTGGTAAAAATTTTAAGTAAAGAAACCATTCTATGATTAGTACTTTTAGACTAATAGGCTGTAGTTCCAACACAACTGCTGCTTTAATGAATATGATAGAAAAATAGAGTTTTAATGATGTTGTGAAAGAAATTGAAATAGATATGGGAACAGCTGCAAAGACAGTGACAACACGGCAGTACTTTCAAATGTAGTAAGAATGTTACGGAGGCTGTCACTCATCCTTTTAGAGGAAGACTGACGTGTTGGTAAGGAATGGAAAATCAGAGGCAAAGAGAAAAAAGATCATAATGAGCCTCTCAAAAATAGAGGTACAGATTCTGGTCTGTGGTAAAGAAAGGTGACACAGTAAAAGCAAATGATACTTATTCTATAAAGTTTATTTACCTAGTCTGCCCATCTAGTATCAAGTAGACTCAGATATTTTACTGTAATTGGTATTGTGCAAATTATTATAATGAAGACTAAAAGAAATGAGACCTAAGGGAATAAAATCTGTGTAACTTTGCAAGCTAAAGGTATTTTTTTTGCAGAGTGCTAGTGAGCAAAAAGCAGAAATGGAAAAAATTAAACAACGAATAGCAGAAGAGGCTGCAGAAATAGAAGAAAGAAAAAGAAAAATTGAAGATGAACTAAAAGAGGTTCAGGTAAGAGCTGATAAGAAAAAGTAATATTTTGCAGTCTGATTTTATCTGAGTTACTCAAGTCCTGCTGTGCACAATGGTTTTGCAAAATTTATCCTTGCAATTCTTAAATTTTGCTCTAAATTATTTTGATATTAAAACTTCTTGCATTAGGAAACAGTATTCTATTTGCCAAATTTAGGTTGTCATTTTGGCGTTTGTGTTCTCTTAGATATTAATTAGAGAAAGAATTTTCAAGCCAAATCTTACCAACCACTTGCTGTTTCTATGCTGCTATAGTCTACAGCTGAGTTCTGCTGATTTTATGGAATATTTTTCAATTACTCATGTCTTATATAGACCAACCACATTACTTTGCCTTGATCAAACTGGTAATGTCATAGGGTTTGGTAGTCTCATCTGAATGGAAATAATTTAATGAGAGATAATTTCCAGTTATTACTAAATTCTGAAAATTATATATCCTAATGGCCCTACAGCAAACTGCTTGTGTACAGTCATTGCTTTTAGTCTCTATTTTTCATCCCATCCATTTTAAGTTTATACTAAAGCATAAGGGAAAACTACAGCAACTTTTTGTTTTTCCTTTTAAATATTATAGTTGCTAAGGAATTATATCCTTGTATTGAAAGTGACATAGAACTGCAGGACTACACCCATTTTGTGGCCTTTGATAAATATGAAAGATCTGTAAGGTGTGCACAGTTTTTAAATAATAATCTTTAACTTCTCTTATCATTCTATTTGTTGATAAGGGCAAAGGCTGTCTGGATTTGTTTAGCTACTGGAAATAGAATGCTTTTGTGACCTGTAGTTCTGTGTGTGTTTACACAGAGATCCTCACTCATGCCTATAAATAGTAATTAGCATAATTATTAAAAGATACCTGTATCACAATGAACTTCTAAGTAACGAAAGAGCAAACATGATTGACACTAATATCTATGTAATGTTTATGAATTTCAGTGCTGAACGAAAAGCTAGGGTATGTCAGGATTATAATATGCTGTTTTATGGGGAAATATATTTAATATCACTTAGTAAACATGTGACAATTTTTTAATAACTTGTAAACTTGAATATGCATCAGTGGTAGTTGGTTACATAATAAAGTATTTAAAAAGAACAAGAAATTGTATGAAAACTGTAATGGCAGATGTTCATTTTTTTGTATCCCCATCCCTCCTTATAATGTGTTTTTATGTTTCAAGCCACTGGTTAGTGAAGCTAAATTAGCTGTTGGAAATATAAAGCCAGAGTCTTTGTTAGAAATCCGGTCACTACGGATGCCCCCTGACATAATCAGAGACATACTAGAGGGAGTTCTGCGGCTGATGGGGATTTTTGATACATCGTGGGTGAGCATGAAAAGGTGAGGATTTTATTTAAGCTTTAAACTTTTTAAGATGAACTACTTTCATTTATATTCAGGAATAATGCATGTTCAGAATTATTTGATGTCATGTAGAAATAATCTTTTTAATATTTGTTTCTTCTTTACTTAGTTATTTAATTCTTTTTACAGTTTCCTGGCGAAAAGAAGTGTAAGGGAGGACATAGAATCCTTTGACGCCCGTAATATTCCAAGAGAAATACGAGAGAGTGTTGAAGAACTTCTTTCTAAAAATAGAGCATCTTTTGATCCAAAGGTAATTCCTGATTGCGTTACATAAAATGAGAAAAGACCAAAAAAAAGACAAAAAGAATAAAAAAGACATGGTTGTCTGATTTGCCAACATAATTTTTAGAATGAGCTTAAATTAGAGAAAAAGTGATGAATTCTGCTTGCAGAATTTGTTAGAGATAAAGGTTGCATGCTGCCTCTAATCATGAGAATTTGGTTGGTGAGTGGGGAGCTGTGGGATGAGAAGTCATTAAGGAATCGAGTCCTCAGAGATTTTTGTCAGTGGTATAAATTAGAACTCAACCAAGCAATAGTAACTGGCTTCTTCTGGCCTCCTTGTAACAGTAAGAGTCTAATAAATCATGCATTAATTTAAAACTGGTTAATTTCAGTGAAGCTACATAGTTCTAAAGATACCCACTGTGTTTTTTTAATGCAGATTGCTGGCCTACAATATAATCTCTTAGTAACAATTTAAAAGATTAGTTCAGTAGAAGAGCAGGCTAATTGGCATATTTAAATTGGTAACTAGTAAATCTGTTACAGTATTTATCTTTTCTGCATTATACTTCAAGGACTTTCTTCTAACTGTTACTGAATTTTTCAGAATGCTAAACGAGCCAGTGCTGCAGCTGCTCCATTAGCAGCTTGGGTGAATGCCAACATCCAGTATTCCCATGTCCTAGAACGAATTCAGCCTTTGGAAAAAGAGAAGGCTGGCTTGGAAGCGTAAGTTAGACCCTATTACAAAACAAGTACTTTTAATACCAATGATGGTGGGCAAAACTAAAACCTCCAAGAAGGAATCTGAATATGAGGAATAACTTCTTAGAGGGTGGCAGAGCACTGGAACAGGCTGCCCAGAAAGGTTGTGAAGTCTCCTCTGAAGATATTCAAAACATGCCTGGACATGATACTGTGCAACCTGCTCCAGGTGAACCAGCTTTAGCAGGGGTTTGGATTAGATGATCTCCCGAGGTGCTTTCCAACACCAACCATTCTGTGATTCTGTGTGGATTGAAGTTTATTAAAAAAAAGATAAAAGAAATTATACCTCATCTGTAGGTAATAAAATGTTCCTGCTGATACAGAAAAGTAAGTGCGCAATATTTTCTTTTTCCTGGAAGTTATACCTTAGTTGTTTTTTGTACAATCATGAGTTACCTGTCCAGCTGAATAGGGTCAGGGAGAAATGAGCATCACAGATATACTTAAAATGTAGTCTCTCAGTAAAACCCATGCTATTTTATGAGATGTATGGTTCCTCTATTTTCAGTCATGTACCAAGCATAATCAGGTTCTCCTTGGGATCAAAAAGATAAGACATGGTCTTATGGCCATCCATAACCTTAGGAATCTGTACTGATTGTTTTGCCAGGTTTTAAAATTCTGTATTGGAAGAACTTGTTCTGATCTTTTAAGGATAGGGTGTTTGGTTTCCATTTTTAAAGCTATGTGATGAGAAGTACTCAAAGCTTTTTTGTATGAAAATATATTTTTTTTTATGTAAAACAAAAGGAAGAGCTGTCTCTGAACTACCTCTATGTAAACTACTTTCCTGTTTTATTTGCTCTTTTTTACCCATAGTCTTAAAATAAATGTTACCTTTTTGTAGTAATCTCAAGAAAACTGAAGACAGAGAAAAGAAGTTAGAGGATCTTCTGAACTCTGTTGGTCAAAAAGTGTTGGAACTGAAAGATAAGTAAGTTGGGTTTGTTTATTTCAAGATATAAATACAAACATAGACGATTTTACATTATGAATAATGACATTTATCTAACCAAATGTAGCTTCCTGTTCTGCAAGATATTTAGGTCCCAATTAGTGACACTTAGATAGATAGTCTAAGCGTCTACCTATACACTCAGTGGAGATAAATACTGTTAGAATACAGCTCATCTTCTTGATCAGATGAAATAAATGCTCCTTAAAAGTACCTGCTTCTCACTACTGACGTTGTTGGTAACCTTTATTGTAGCCATTGATGTCAATGGTAAGCAGTATTGTTTCTAACCTTCTAAATCACATAAGACTTCAATGACTCCTTAGAATTTTGGGAATATGCCTATACAAAACTTCTACTGATCACAGCTTGAATAAAGGCAGTTCTATTTCTTTTAGGCTGGCCTACTTTTTTGACAGCTAGTTAGCTCTCTCCTTTTTTCTTAGCATCTCTTCAAGTACATGACTCACAGTGGTATAAAAATAGGTCTGGTGAACTTTTATACTTTCTTCAAATTCAGTTTAATCTAAGTTTTTAGTTTGATGGGTTTAGTATATACTTAGTGTAGGAGATACTTTATAATCTAACATATGTACATATTACTAAAAGTTATGTTTTGTAGTCTGCAAAAAAAAATGGGAGAATTCTTGTCATTCAGCAATACAGTGATTTCTTAAATTAGTTATATACTACAGATTACAGTTAAATATATTACTTTAAACTGGTGGATTATTAAATGCATTAATTATTTTAAATATTAATCAAACTAAATACATATTGAGCATTACAAAATAATACTTAAACCGTGCCTGTTTTTTAGGTCATGTTCTTACTACATATTAGTTTACAAAATAGACTACTGTGCGTTGAACTGGAGTCATTCATGTGAATTAACAATATTCTTTTTTAAAAATTTTAAATATCAAATTTACCAAATAGTTACAAATGTACAGTATGGCATTGAGCCTGCTATTTTCCTGACTAGGTGTCAAACAAAACTTTACACGATCACTAAAATCAAGTCAAGCTGTTTAAGTGAAAGAAGGAATGATTTTCAGACATTACAATCTGTATTTCAAATGTATTTTTAAGTCTCACCTGTGTATCTATCTAAATTTTTTTAGTTAAAAGTCTAACAAGTTCATCTGCCAATTAAAAGCAGAAGGTACAAAAAAGAACTGTAGTTGTGTTCTTCATTAACAATAATGGAGGAATTCATTACAAAATCAGTCAATTAAACTGCCTTGAAAGTAACTGTTCATAAGTTTAGTAGTTCATGATAGTAATTACAAAGAGTATTTGTTTTACAGGTTCCAGAGTAGAACAACAGAAGCAGCAAAACTTGAAGCAGAACTAAGTAAAGCTCAGAAAACATTAAAAGCTGCAGAGGAACTAATAAATCAACTCGATAGGGAACACAAAAGATGGAGCACTCAGGTTAGTGAAAATTTTCATAAATACATCTTATAGCTGATAATTTGAAAATACAATTTTTGCACTGTTTGTAGAATGTGAGTTATTGCCATTCTGCATGTCTCCCAGTGTACATTTATTTGATTTCTCATTAGAAATTAAAGCTTTTCTTCCTTCTGAAACTTATTTTTACTTCACCATACAAGTTATATCACCTTGCTACAGAATGTGTAAAAAATCCCTCAGTATTTAATACAGAACATACAACATTCTGTGATGGTTTTCAATCACAATAATGTAATTGTTATGATGGCTGAACATGTCAGCAGTGGGACCCTCCAAACTGAGATACAATCAAAAGGGACAGTTTTTGGGAAAACATTAAACAATCACAGTCTTAAAACATATATTCTTTTATGGCATCGATGCCGGAAATGCAAATGTAGATCTACCCAAAATATTTTGTTACTTTTGAAGTCTTCACTTAAATGTTTTAGGCTTTTCTCAGTAAGGAAAGTAAGCATATTTTATTTGCTCAAATGAAATATTTGCGAGAAACTGGCAAGTCTTTGGACACACAGGCTCCTCTTTGGTCTGAAACAAAAAGGAAAATCTCGAGATATATACAAGCTGAAAATAGCTGTCACCTCCAGAAAGCAATCTCTAGTTTTCTTGTGTATTTTAAAGTGGAAAAAATCTCCATGCAGAAATACATGGTCCTGTCTCTCCACTGATACTAAAAAAACCCTAAACAAGTAGACTAAATGCCTGCGTTTTGAAGAACCAAAGTTAAGGTTAGATGAATCCTTTTTGTGGGTTGACCACTATAATGGAAAAAAATAGAGGATTTTCCTTTGAAAGTAGCTTTGCAGCTATTTCCTCTGCTATAGTAAGGATTGGATGTATTTGAACCCCAGAGTCTAAATGCTTCTAAAAGTAATTCCTCCAGTTTTTCACCCTGATACATTACCCTCATCATTAGAAAGTTTAGACTATCTGTTAATGATATGCTGTGGACTAAACTGACAGATAGATTAGTTAAGAAGTATCCCATATTGCAGTCAGTGAAAAGGCAGTATTTGTCTCCATTTAAAGTAAAGAGAAAGCAATGAAAAGTTGCTTTTTTTGTTTGTGTATCAGCTTTTTTTTGATGTCAGTTTGATTATAACAAAAAAAAAAAGAAAGACAATACTTTGAAACCAATTGTGGCAGTCATATAGTATTTCGATACGCTGTATTTTTCTCCAAAATACTGGAACATTTCAAAACAGAGGTGATGTAGTGCAGCTAAATTATTTGAAGATATATGATAAATGTATTTTATCACGTAAGTGTGCAGTGAATAACAGTAAATGTAATAGTTACATATAGTATTTAGTATCTGTATACATATTGTATACATACTTACTACCTGACTGTGACTGAGATCACCTATTTCTTATTTTTCTTACTATGATACTTTTTATTCATTTGCTTATAAATTGAACTGAAATTCATAGATTTTTAGCAGCTACATTCTCTGAAATATCTGTCCATGCCCTAACCCGAGGTTAAAAAGAATTTTTCCCATAATTTCTTGTCTGTGTTGCTGTGGGTTAGCTAGGTCTAGATACCTGAAATGCAAGCAGAGAGATTGTCTCAACTGTATTCCCAATGGCAGGCAGATTTAATTATGACTTTTTAATAACTGATGAGACATATTAACATAGATTTTGTTTGCAAAACACCTATACAGTCTTCACTTTTTTTTTTAAGGTGTCAGAGATAACAGATGAACTGGCTACATTGCCTAAAAGAGCTCAGTTAGCAGCTGCATTTATTACATACCTTTCTGCTGCTCCTGAGGATCAGAGGAAAACCAGCCTGGATGAATGGACCAAATCAGCAGGCCTTGAAAGTAATTTCTTGTGTGTGTCTGTCAGTGTCTGCTTGTAAGTAATTAAGCTTGATTGAGGAAGTGAGAAGTGCCAGTGAGTTCTAATGAACAGTTTCAATTGTTTTCATGTTTCCAAATGAAAAGTGATGATGTTTTCTTACTCAACAAATACTTGTTTATACAGACAGGCTATTTCTTAGGCTTATTCTATTAAATTATTAAGATTATAAAAACTTATAAATAATTTTATTTTTGTAGAATTTGCTTAAAAAGAAGAATTTACAAAAATCATTGTATTCGCATGAACTATTGTAAATTTGCCAATGCGTTTTGAATACATCTGCTTTTTCAGCAAGCATTTTTATTTCTGCATTAATAATATAATTAAATATTATTATGACATCAGCTAGTTATTAGTAATAAGTTCAAGCAATAAAATAATAGATTAAAGGGAAATCTACAGACCTGCACTCTGTTAGACAGAGTCTCTGCTGTATACAGAGTGGTAAATGCTTTATAATTATGCAGACTATAAATGCTGACACAAAGTTGCACTCTTTCATTTATCAGAGTTTGATTTACGGCGGTTCCTATGTACAGAAAGTGAGGAATTAGTTTGGAAAAGTGAAGGTTTGCCTTCAGATGATCTTTCAATAGAAAATGCTCTTGTCATCTTGCAGGTAAATTTGCTTTTTTTATCTTGTCTTGGAAGTATTTAAATTCTTACAAATTTCAGTAACATGACATCTGCCTGGAATTTTGAATTACTTCATTTGTGTTATTTGTTGGCATCACAGAACACACACACACAGAGAAATAAATACTTATGTACACTGGGTATTCTGTAGTACAAAGAAAAAAACAGTTAAAGAAAACACGTTTTCCTTTTTGCTTTTACAGTTTTTTTCCATATCAGTCTATTCCAGCTTAAAGTGATAGAATCAGTGGAAGATTATGTCCCATGTATGTTGACTTTGACATATAATTTCTAATACTTTTTTCTCAGAAAAAGGAAATGCTATATACAGATACCTTTCGAAACCTATATATATATTGCTAATAATACTTGAGAAAAGAAGTGGGAAAAGATTCAGTTTTATCATATAATTATGTATAGATATATAATACATAATACTGCATGATTATGTACATGATACTGTAGTCATTTATTAGATCTCCTAGCAAGTAAGTATTTAATGGCATGAGGAGAATCTGCATTTACTACAGGTGATTTGCTTAGATGATTGATGATTCTCTCAAATCAGTTGCAACCTTTTTTCAGTTTAAATTTATCTTGCTTTATCATCTTGATGGTAGATCGATAGTAGATCCTTTCTCAGTTTGATTAAAAAGGTTTTCAGTAAATACTGTCTTGTACCCTTAAAGCTACTTATGTGCTATAATAAGATCTTATTTTCATTATTTTCCTTAGTTGAATAGATTGAGCTCTTAAAAATCTCAGTGTATAAAGAGCTTTATGAAGTGCTCCCTTAGCTCAAATAATTTTCTTTGTGTACAGTTTTTTTCAGCATCCTTATAAAGCTGAAATTGGACGTGATATTTTACCAAGGTGGTCTGCAGTGTAGTTCACAAGCTTTTGTACTCATCATCTTTTGTTTCTTAAATATTGTCCATGTTTCTATGTCTTTCAGTTTGAGATCTGTGCAATTACTCAGTTTGGAATACTGGAACTCTAAAAAAAGCCCCACAGCTTGGAAGCATTTATCTATCAGACTGAACTAGAGAATTGTTGAAAATATCTGTTTAAACCTTCAGCAAATTTGCTGGCACAAAACTGGGAGATATGGCTGATATACCAAGATAATCAGAGGGCTGGTGCTCCTCTGCTATAAAGATAGGCTGACAGAGCTGGCGTTGTTCAGCCTGGGGAAGAGAAGGCTCTGGAGAGACCTCATTGCAGCCTTTCAATACTTAAAAGGGACTTATAAAAACGAGGGAGAACAAGTCTTTATATGGGCAGATAGGACAAGGGGGAAAGGTTATAAACTAAAAGATGAGAGATTTAGATTAGCTGTTAGATCTGCTTTACTTAGAGAGTAGTGAGACACTGGAACAGGTTGCTCAGAGAAGCTGTGGAAGCCCCATCCCTGGAAGTGCTCAAGGCCAGATTGGATGGGGCCCTGGGAACCTGTTCTAGTGGGTGGCATCCCTGCCTGTGGCAGGGGCTTGGAACTAGATGATATTTAAGGGCTTTCCAACCCAGCCATTCTGTGATTGAGTCTATGATACAGCAGAAGGTCAAGTGCTGCCCAGAGGTCCTTGATGGACTGGAGAAATGGACTGACCGGAACTTCGTGAAGTTCAACAAGGGGAATTGTACAGTCTTGCTCCTGGAGAACAACAACCCCATGTACCAACATGTGCTGGGAACCACCCAGCTGCAAAGCAGATTTGCAAAAAAAGGGCCTGGGTTGTACATGAGCCAGTAATGGCCCCCTTCCAAGAAGATGGTCAATCGTATCCTGGACAGCTTTAAGCAAAGTATTGGCAGCAGATCAAGGCAGGTGATCTCTCAGCACTAGGAAGGCTACACCTGGAATCCTATACCAGTTGTATGATCTTCAGCACAAGAGACATATGAATGTACTGGAGAGAGTTGATTGTAGCTTTATGCCTGCAAAATACTTGTATTCATGATTTTTTCTAAAATGCATTGAGGTCCAGAACAAGAAGTACTGTACCTTTGCCCACTAGAGGAAGAAGAAGGAAAACTAATACCTCTTCTTCTAAGTTTAAAAGCAGTTGTGAATGACAAAAGCTGTAGATTATAGTCATTGAATAGACTCCTGTTTATAGGGAAGGTGAAGAATGACCTAACTTCAGCACGACGAACACCTGAGAATTTTGGATTGCGTGCTTTTTTGTTTAAGAAATAAAATAAAAGACTTAAAATTCCTGCTCTATTTCTCTAAGCAGTTTGTTAATGAAAAAAAGATTTTAAAATATTTATGCTGTACATTTGGTAAAATAATAAACGACTCCAATTTTATTCTTAAACAAAACAGATTTTAGTAAATATACATGTATATTTTTTTCACCCTAGAGTAAAGTTTGCCCGTTTTTGATAGACCCTTCTTTCCGGGCTACTGAATGGTTGAAGACACATTTGAAGGAATCACGTTTGGAAGTTATTAACCAACAGGTGGAGTATTTACTCTTGGTCTTACAATTCTGTTCTGCTTGAGCTTTCTCTATTCCAGACTTTAGAGAGCAGTTTTTAAAGGGGTGTGGTAGCAAACACCAAAAGTGAGGTTGTATTCTATGAAGCCTATAACTTCTCATGAAAATTTATTTACTCAAGGAGGAGATCAAAGTACTGAGAATTAGAGGGTCAACATCTGGTATTACTTCTACAAAGTTTGCCTCTTTGTGCCGCCCTCTCCAAGAATATCATATTTTCTACTGAGAGCAAGATAATAACAGATTTGTAAATAGAGAGGTCTTTTGTATTCTTGGCAGTTCACTAGATTTCAGGAGTATGTGTACACTTACTCCCTATGATTTTTGTGTTATATTATCTACATTGGAAAGAGTAAGTTTGATTTCAGTTTGAGACTAAGGTACCTAAAATTAATTGTCTACCTGTAACTGTTTTCGTGGGTGGTAACGTGTGGCTCGGTTGTACACACATAGGCAGGCATCTAGTGCTGTTCAGAAGTCCCTTATTGAACCCCACCTGGCCTCAAGTTATTGCTTCAGCAGAATGTAGGTCTTGCACAGAACCCTGCTGCTCTGTGCAGGCCTTGAAGATTGTCTCTGATGGTAGTATCTTTGGGTAATTGATTGTTTCTCCTGCCAGCTGATTAGCCTGATTACCTTTTAGACTCTGTTGTCTGCATTGACTAATGTAATCTTAAACACCACAAGCATGTTTAAACACCTACAGCAAAAGACTGCATTTAGACTTCTTAATACCAACGTGAATCCTGTCTGTAGATCTTGATTCAGTTTTCAGATATAGCTACATACTAACATTTGAAGTGTGTTAACTGGCCAGGACTTCTAGGTACACCTAACAGAAATGATGGTAGACCTGCTCTTTTCTGGTGCAGCACTTGAAGATCTAGGCATATTAAATAGCTTTTCTTTATGTCAGTATCTGAGTAGATCAAATTTATTTGAACTAAACACTTGTGGCTAAACCTGAAATATCATTTGATGCCTGTAATAGAATTTTTCAGCTGTACTACGGATTTCTAGATTTAGACTACTTGTTATAATGCCTTCCTACTCATTCTGAGGTGTTTATGTTATTTGCCCAGGACACCAACTTCGTAACTGCTCTGGAGCTGGCAGTGAGATTTGGGAAAACACTTATTATACAGGAAATGGATGGAGTGGAGCCTGTACTTTACCCATTGCTAAGAAAAGATCTCATTGCTCAAGGTAAATGACCAAGATCTTTACAAATGCTTCCTCAAAGCTTTTGTAGTTTACATCCATATGGGATGTAAAACTTGATTTTTCTGAAAACTTGAGTATTGTGCAATTTTTTACCTCTTTAGTATTAATCTGTTGCTAACATTTCAGTGCAAAAAATATGTTGGAAATATGTTCTTGTTTAGTAAGTGGAAAAATACTGAAATGTATTTAGAGAGTTTTTAACTGGATTTAGAATAAAGTGTTTTTATCAACCCTTCAGAATTTAAAGTTAATTTCTAGTGATAATTTCAAATGCATAGTTTTACTTGGAAACTTGGGCCTTAAATAGACCAGAAGTTACACAGCTGGCTGTGCAATTAGAAATCAGAGTTTTAGAATACTGGTGTTGCTGTTTCTCTTTCAGTTGTCTGAAACTAAAGAAGGCACACAGGTCTGTCCCTGATGTGCCTTTGGAATGAGGAGGGTTGTAGATATCAGCAAAATGTTGGAATTTGGTGAAAGGTGTCCCTTAACTGATGCAATGAAAGGGAAACCCCCCAGCATTTGTTATGCAGTATCTCTGCTTTGGACAGATAATGTACTCTATATAACTCTATATAAAACTTCTTTGGATTTAGTTGCTTTAATAACGACTGATATGAAAATTTGTGTTAAAAGTTTAGCAAAAATAAATAGCAATTATATAAGTATCCCAGCATGAATTTTGTTGAATTATATTACATGTTTTCAAATTAAATCACAAGAACTGAGTGGATTAACAAATACAGCAATATCTGTTTTAAATACTGTCTAACTTACTGTAATTATAATAGTTTTACATTATCCTTTGTAATTATATTTCTGCCTCAAGTTGTAATTCCTCAGCATGTACCACAGCCTATGCATGTAATTTACAGTATGAGCTTTGGCTACTGAAAAAAGCTCAAGACTTTTTTTGTTGTTGTTTCATCAACCATTGAGATCTAATAATGCATGAGGTAACAGTAATGCTTTAAATGTAAGTACATTTAATGTACTTATTATTAATTAAAACAAATGTAATAGGATTCTTATATACATTTATCTCCAATATCAGAAAGATCTGTTTAGTGAAAAGAAAGTTACTTTAAATCATTCTTCCATTACAGATGTACCTGCTTGTTTATTCTCAGTAAAAGAGTACCAGTAAAGTGGTGACTTCAGGGTTCTGTGGGGGGTTAGGTAGAACATCGTTACAAATTTTTTTTGCCCCTCCAGTTTCTGCTGAATTTTGGAAAGGAGAGATACAGTATTGCAGACATCTTAATTGATTTTATTCAAGAAATCAAATTGAGAGATGAATATGTCTGCAAAACTGTGGAGAAAGTAGATTAAATTCAAATATACTCATTTATTCAGGGAAATTGCTTATAACACTCAGACATCCTATTTACTTGTTAATGGGCTATGTTAATGCTAGGTCTGTGCAGGTCCAGTCTAGGGAGCTGTTATTTGAAAAGGAGAATGGGTCACTGTTTGAATCTTTTCTGTCACTTCACAAGCAAGCACACACTCCTTCTCTTTGTCAAAATGTGGAGGTGGGAGCCTATCTGCATTATTTTGCTTGTGATGACTGTACATCTCTTCATTACTTGGAATGAAACATTAAGAAAAATGTGAATATATGTACTGCAATAAATTCGTCTTTGTACAGCTTCCATTTTCTCTTTGACATTTTTACAACACAGTCCTGAAATTTATTGTGATCCTTGGCATAGAAGCAAAATTGATATGTGATTTTCATCTCTACCAGTGTTTTAGCAAGAGATTTATATTTCTGATCTACAATCAGTGCTAAAAATAGAGAAGCACCTAACTATGCCATCTTGGACATTTTTCTGGAATGGGAATTTTCACTTGTTAACTTTTCATCTTATAATTCTGTTCTTATTTCTTTTCAGTATCAGGAGGCAAAGTCTTATTCTAATCATATGATTGTTTGAGTCTATTATTTTCTAACCTTGCTAGACTGCAAATCTGGGGTTGGAGGGGGATGGTGAGGGGCCATACATGTAATTTTATTCTGTGACAGGCATATTGAGAAATATTAGGAGTATAAACAGATTGAAACCATGACATCAATTATTTAATAAATTGTTTCTTTCATATTATGATTAAATTGTGTTTATAATAAGACAAATTTATGGGACATTTCTTGATGTAATATTTTTTTTCAATCTAATATCTAGATATCGCAACATGTTTAGTTTCATGGACTTGCTCTATAACAATTATCATAGAAAGTAACATTTTAATAGAATTATGATTATACAGAAACATCAACCTTCTACAAATAAATGTAACAGATCCAAAGATGAAATCTAATGGATTTGGATCATATTCAGAAAATGTTGAACCATTTTAATTATCAAATATATAATTATGGCTAGTATGTTTTGCTAGAGTGGTATACAGTTGTGGAAATGTAAGTGAATATGTTTAAATTATGACAGGTTTCTTACACGTAAGGGGGATTCTCCAGTGGATCTTCTATGGTTTTTTGTCTCCTATTCATGGTTTGAAGATTTCAAAGATTTGTTAATATTACTTTTACTTCAATTGTATTTTTTACCATTTAGTCTTTGTGTGATGGGTAAGGATCATTAAACTACTCAGGTGTATTAAATATTCTCACTATTTAGCTGTCCTATACTAGTGCTATCTTATTCCTTTTTTTCTCTAACAACGCAGGTTGGGATATGTTCCTTGAATTTTTTAAATTTGTATTTCTTTCAAAAAAGTTTATAAATAAATCTTCTAAAATTCATTTACATCTCATCATCATAAAGTATTACACGAATACCATTATTTTACAATGATGTTTCTTGATGATGATTTTACAATGTTCCAATCAGAGTGCATATAACGTCTGCTTATTATTTACAGGACCCCGTTATGCTATACAAATAGGTGAAAAAACAATAGATTATAATGAAGATTTCCGTCTTTTTCTGTCAACAAGAAACCCCAATCCCTTCATTCCGCCTGATGCTTCTTCTATTGTTACAGAAGTAAACTTTACCACAACAGCAAGTGGCCTAAGAGGACAGGTAGGCATTTAGAATAAAAATAGTGTATATGTATAGTGCACATGCATAGATGCATCCAGTGTCTGGAAGAAGCCCTATGGTGCAGTTTGTGTTAATGGTCATGGAGGTATTTTTTTAGCTCACAAATATAAATAGTAAAATCAAAGCTAAAATTAAATTTAAATTTTAAAATCTTGTTTTTATGCACTTTGGAACCAAGTATTGAGTTCAACAGAGAAAATTAAAATTGTCTCATGTACTTCAGTTGCAACAGATTAATTGGTAAGCCTCTGCTTTCTGTTCAAGATACATTTATGGTACCATGGAAACATTTCTGTTGCAGCTCTCTAGTGTCCTACTTACAGAATAATGCTAGTACCATCAAAATTTTGTGTACAGGAAAAACGTAGTGAAATTGAAACACTGTATATTTTACTTCCTCCAAAATGCTAGTAGCTTTTGAGGTTTTCTCTATAAAATTTAGGAAGCAAAATGTAACATTCAAATGGAAGAAAGAGAAAAAAAAAGGGAAATTAAGGGAAATAAACCCCCTCTATATTTGGTATGAAACAAGTTTTTCCACACTAATGAGGCTTAGAATAGGATGTAGGTAAGATGTTGATAAGATGCAATTCAAAATGTGAAGCACAGATACCTGTATCGATTTCCTCCTTCCACTGGAGGTAGGGAATTGACATCATGCAATGTAACCATGAAAATTGACCCCCTTTTGAAGTGGAAATGCAGAAAAACCAACTTTGTTTTCTCTCTGTTAGGAGGAGAGAGGTTTGATTCGTAGGCATGTTGGAAAGAAATTTGCTGCCATTCTTTCCAATTTGTGCTTTCCTACATCACCTGATGTAGGAAATACGTATCTGATAACAATACATGCGAAAGTGAAGACTACCAATCATTTAAACATGCATGTAATTCAGATTGAGGTGCAAAGGTTTAGGTCTAAGCATGAAACATTGTGAATTAGTGTCCTCAATAAAGTCATCCAGAGCCTCCTTGAGATGCTCTGGAGTATCTCACCTGGCTTGCATCTGCTGTTATACTCAAGGCATGATTCACAGTAGTTCCTGGATTATCCTGGCCACTACAGGATATGCTGGATATGTACACAGATTTAAAGCTATTCGATGTCTACTGGAACTGAGTAAACCCACAGAAATCTACTTTCAAAAAGATAGCAGTATATATTCTATATGATGAATGAGTATATATTGTGCTATATAACTAATGAATACATATTTTGAAATATTAAAGTGTTTCTTATCCTGCTGAATAATCTTCTTTGTTTTTAGCTTTTGGCTTTAACTATTCAGCATGAAAAACCTGATTTGGAAGAGCAGAAAACGAAACTGTTGCAACAGGAAGAAGATAAGAAGATACAGCTAGCTAAACTTGAGGATTCTCTTTTGGAGGTAAAATAAATTTACATCTTTTGTATCTGTTATACCAAAAAATAGTGTTCATATTGTTATGTATTTGAAAGAAACTATACTGTTTCTTTTTCAAATTATGGGTTTTAACTGAAGCCACATTTTGTGAATCATGTCAAATATACTTTCAAGTTGAGAAATGATCCTGTGTAGTGAAAGGAAAAAAAAATCCCAGTACAAAATGGAAGGATTGTTGAGAGACATTTAAAATTTTAAAACTCCACAATTATTTCTAACTAACTAAGCTGTTAGTTTTTATAGATTAGACTGGCCATTTATTAGTCTGGCCTACAAGAGAGCTGGAGAGGGACTTATTACAAGGGCATGTAGTGATAGGACAAGGGGGGATGGCTTCCAACTAAAAGAGGGTACTTTTAGATTAGATATTAGGAAGAAATTCTTTGCTGTGAGGGTGGTGAGGCACTGGAACTCGTTGCCCAGAGAACTTGTGTGCCTCATCCCTGTTCAAGTGTTCAAGGCCAGATTGGATGGGGCTTTGAGCAGACTGGTCTAGTGGAAGATGTTGCTGCTCATAGCAGGGGGTTTGGAAGGTCCCTTCCAACCCAAACTGTTCTATGATTCTATGATTGATAGCTCTGTTTTAGAATTTTGTACATAATTATCTGATGTGATTTGAATTTCAGCATTTGCTGTCCCTATTAAACTCCTTATTAATTCTCAAATACTAAGCTCAGCCCTTTCTTAAAACTGTGATAGGGCAGCTTTCTCTTATAGGAAGAGGGGAACTTGCTCTCTAAAAAAATTTCATGTCCAAATTTAATCATTTTTAGCATCTTATTTTCTACCAGAAACTGAGACTTCAGGGATACCACTATTTGACCTTTTAGAACAGACTTTTTTTGTTATCTTGGAACTCCAAGATTTTTTACATTTGTCTGATCTGAGTTACCAAGCACAAAACTTAAGATAGCTGATACCTAAGATATTTGCAACAAAAAGTGGCCAAGTGTTAACACCGAGTTGGTTTCAACTTCGGAATTCTAGTTAGCACTGAAATCAGAATACTCTATGACCCCAAAGATAGAAAGCTAAGGCTCAGTGGAAACTGGCAGGTGCTACATGGACTTTGTCAACAAAGAAATCAGTGCTGAAGGTGGTCTAGCTAAATTCAAGTTAAACTTAAAGCAACATTACCATTCCATCTGAAGTACTGTACTGGTTTTCTTCTGAAAGCCTTGGAGTAAAGACATAGGTGCTGTGGTGATCTTGTAGCTTACAGTGTGATTCCTCGTAGCAAAATTGGATTCCTTGAATGCTGTCCTACAGGTGGTTGTTCAGAACTGACCTGACTGACAAGAAGCCAATTTTCTGTTGCTGTCTAACTAAAAAAAAATGTATTGAAGTATATTTACTGAGGGTTAGTAAAAAACATGTATTATTAGGGAATCATTCAAGCTTTTGCCACTTCTTGGAAGTGAAATTAATTGCACGGGAGAACTCAGGGAAAATGTGAGGCAATCTCAAGGATTTTGAGGTAATCTCTGATTACAAAACTGAAATTTTTGTGATGTAAATATTTGTCTCAGTTGAAAATGAGAACTAGATTGTATAGGGGATAGTGGAATGTTTTTGAAGGAAAATGAATTTTTGAATGACTGGGTACAGGAAGTTGTTACGAGTAGCTTCAGGTTAAATTGGAAGTTAAATGGAAATTTACCATGGAGATTTTAATGCCTAAGACCCTGATCATAGAAAGCATTCTGAAAAGCTTGCTGATGACTTACGTTTCAGAACCTGGCAATCTGGATTTTTGGAGTACCTTCTTGAGTTTTATTTTCCATGCTTCTTTAAAACATCATCTGAGTTTTTGGAATAACCATCTGTTCAGAAATATGTAGAGGTCAGAAAGATGGACAGCTTCCAAAATAGTTACTTTACAGGATTGTTTGGTTTTGGTTTTTTTTTTAACGTGACATAAATTACTTTTTTTTTTTTTCCAGACACTTGCCACATCACAAGGCAATATACTAGAAAATAAGGATCTGATAGAGTCTCTGAATCAAACTAAAGCAAGTAGTGCAGTCATCCAAGAATCGCTGGCTGAATCTCACAGACTTCAGACTTTCCTTGATAAGGTAGAAGAATATTTTAATCTTTTATTACTGTTTTTTTCCTGCTAAAAATAGTCATCTTCTATATACAGAAGACACATATATCCACAGGAATATAAGATAAATAACATATTAAATTAACTTTTCTGAGTAAATGATATTTGGGATAAGCAAGCACAGGTAGTATTTTTGTTAATTAAATTGCTTAGTTTTACACATGCTGAATAATTACACAATTTAAAGTCCACCAGTTTGAGTTAAAGGGTGTTTGGCAGGTAACGAGGTTTGACTTCATTTTACCATCCTCTGTTGCAAACATTCTGGATCATATTGATGTTTTTACTTAATATATGCCTTTCTCTTGGAAAAGTTTAGTTTAAAATTTTCCATTGAATTTTGAGATATGTTCTGTTGTGGGAAGAGACCTCAGTGCCCTAGGGATTTATTTCCATCATATTCTTAATTTTAAAAAAGTTTCCAATTTGGAAATCAAAAAGTATTGAAATCTTGAGTTCTGGTCCCTCAATTTGGAGAATTGGAAAGGATTCAGTTTCCTAAAACAGTGGGAATCATCCACATGTTTTTTTTGATGGGATGAGTAATAGTTTATGCAATAAGCAGCAGGTGGCAGTAATGCACCGAGTTTTTATGTGTGTGTTGTTTTTCTCTGCAGGAGAGGGACTCCTATCTCCCTTTGGCCGAGAGTGCCAGCAAGATGTACTTCATTATCTCTGACTTGTCCAAAATTAATAATATGTACCGCTTTAGTTTGGCGGCTTTCCTGCGACTTTTCCAAAGGGCTCTGCAAACCAAGCAGGTATTTTCTCTTCTGAAGCTCCTAATGCTGCAGAAGAATCAATCTGCTTTGATCCTTAGAATTTATTAGCTTCTCTGGACATTTTAAAAAAAAAGTTATAATAAATGTTGATGAAATGTATAATAAGTAGTTATGCTGAACTGTTGTGCTTTAGATATTCAGAATCCATGCACATGGAATTTTAAATTATTTTACGTTGCATATAAATCAGGGTATTGCTGTGCCAACTGAAAGCAGAATAACTCCTATTTGTGATTTCAGACTTGCTCTTTGTCTAAGATGAACTAGGAAAACAAAGGTTGATTATAACTTTACTGAAGGCTTTATTTAAATGAATTAATGATCTAATCTGCTAATAATGCTAATTTTATCAACAAAGGGTAGAATAAGAAAATACCTATATATCTACAGGGCTCAGTTACGCAAAGGAAGATCAAAATTTTGTCTGCTTTTATACAGTTTGTAAGCATGCCTTATTGAAAATGTAATTTTTATTTTTCTTTGTTGTGATGGCCTGTATATCCTTATTAGAGCACAGAAATAATTTATTCCTTGTCACTAAACTGTTTAGATCTAAATACCCACACTGAGTAATGATGCATTTTATTTTTATACAGTGTCTCCAAAATTCATCGTATTTCTCTTTGTTTTTACTTTAAAAAGACATTCACCAACCTTTCATCATGTCTCCTTTGGATTCCCCTTTATGGTGACATCCATGGTTTACAACTTCCCTTCAGCTTCAGTCATATCAGGAACACAGTTCTAACTATGTGAACTTGCCCTCTTTAAAGTTCTTATTTCTTCTTTTCGACAACATGAGGTTTTAACTTCTTTTTTCTTACTTCACACTTCTTTATAATTTCTTTTTTTCCTGCCTATTATGTTACCATATTAAAGCTCAACTTCTGGTTTTGCCTTCATTACCTTCTTTCTTTTTCCTCTATCCAGTTCTTAATTTTTGAATCTTTTAGGCATGGGAAAGGTATTAGTCAAGTCAATTGTCCAGTTGCCCTCCTTAAACTCATCTTTTCAAATTCCAGCATGGTAGAAAGGAACTTATACTATCTGTTACACATTCCATGCCTCCCAGCCCGTTTCTTCTTTTGTCCTGTATTTTTTTCACTTTTTTCATGTTAGAATTAGTTTTTCAGTCTTGACCTTTGAAGGACAGGGTACACTTACTATTTTCTACAACGTTCATTTCATTTGGGCCAGATTTGGCCAGAAGTTTAGTAACTACACTTAACATCAACATACCTGTTTACTAGTATTAAATGTAGTAATTCAATGCCTAAGCAATTTTTTACCTAGTGAAAACTATGGGATTTCAAGAATATTAATGTTAGGAGAAGAAACTTTTCTCTCATTCTTTGTATATTTACCTTATACAAAGTTGTATAATGTTCATAATCAAAATATTCAGGCCCAAAATATTTATTTCTTAATACTTCAGCATGAATTTCTCATTTAATCATCTACTGATTGATAGGTGCAGCTGAATTTAATAATATGTTTTTAGAACTGGTGTCATGTAGCATCCAGATTATTTGTGGCATTTATCTGAAATTTACAAAGTACATAAAAAATTTTTTACTTCCACATGAATTTTTGGAACCCAAAATTTCTTTTTTAGGATTCAAGTAACACTGAGGAAAGAATCAAGTTGCTTATTGGCTCATTGAAACATGCCGTGTATGAATATGTTTGTCGTTGTTTGTTTAAGGTAAGATTGTATTTTTTCTGACTTAAGACAGTGCACTGGGTTTGAAAGTATTCTTTCAGCAGCCAACACTTGATCTACTTCAAATAGGCAGTACTGTGTAATAGATACAAAAAATTACACTATCAATATTTAACATGCAAAATGAGGAGGACTAACAATTAGGATACGACAAAATTAATATTGCTTATGGACATTTTTCCACAGAGCTCCTCATTTTGGCTTCATAGCCAGTCCTGGTCTTTGCCGTCTCCTGAGCACTTTTTTTTCCTGTTTGCTCTTACTTCTTGCATTCCTTAGTATGAGTGTTTGACCTAGCTGTCATGATAAGGTTTTGTGTGATTATTTGGGGGTTTTTTGTATTTTTTTTTTTTTTAAAGGAAACAAAAGTGATTGTGGTAGATTGACAGTTGGACTTGATAATCTTAAAGGTCTCTTGCAACCTTGATGATTCTATGATTCTAAAAAAAACCCATATTGTGATATTCTCCTTTCTCTTTTCTCAACCTGTCCCAAATCTCTACCTGCTACCTTGTTTGTTTCCATCTGTTCCCTTGTTCCTCCATGTGATGTTCCTAATGTGTTTCTTCTTTATGTCAGTCAGGTATCTTTTCTCTTCTTGCTTTCTTATTGAAAACCTAGGATAGATATGCCTTTAATTTTCTGTTTTAAGTTTTACTTTCATGTGGAACTATCATGACAAGAGGTATTTGTCTCATAATACCAGCCTGAAGAATGCACAGTAGGTCTGCATAGATGGTTTGAGTAGTAGTAGAAATTACACAAGTCTGGAGTTTGATCAGTGAGAATGGAGAGATCTTGAAAATTTTACACCAATCCTCCCCTCTCCCCCAATCTAGCAACATTTTATTTAAGGTACAGAGGTAGCAGATATTTCTTAGAAATTTTGTTTATCAAAGTCCAAGGGGATTCTCATGGAATGTTCTCATCATATTTAATGTCTGCATTTGAAGTCATGAGTATGTGAAGCGTTCCACTAAGTCATTATGTCTTGTGAATATTGGAAGGCAGCAATTTTTGCACATAAGAAAAGAGCAGAGATTTCAAGTGTAGGGCACAGAGGGGAGATTTCTCGTAGGAAGGATTTTAACTGTGAGCATTCATATTGGAGTTTAGAAAATACTGAAAGTCTGTTACTGTGCAGCTTCAGACTAATGGTCCATCCAGCTTAATATTGTGTTCTAATAGCTGAGAGAAAAAATAAGCTCCTCACACCATCAACAATTCACTACTACTTCCACCTTTTATCCATGAAAATTTTTAAAGACTGCTGTGACACTGAGGCTTTACTCGTGTCTTCATAAAAGGTATAGCTGATACAAGTTTATATGTTTTTAACCATGTTAGAATTGGGAAGGATGTTTTTTTCTGTCTGTGGTTAATATCTATGTGTGTACCTAGGCTTCATGTATGCTACTAAGTGAAGCTGTGCCCAGAAATTTTCCTGAGCACTGGAATTCACCCACTTGTACTGTTACTTTGTCAAAATAGTTTCTGTTACAGTTAATATTCTTTCAAACAATTTTCATTCAAATTTTGGATACTGAATCATCCAGGGACTATCCTAATAGGCAGTTTGGATTTGAATTTGCTTGCAGACCTTGTCTGAGAAGATGAAAGAGTTGAGTGGTGTAGTTTGTTCTCAGTGTCATGTAATGTTCATGGACGTATTTTATTTATCGGTAAAATGAGACCTCCAGTGCCTTACAGAGTTTGACACTAATGCCTAGTAGGGACCTATTTGTCACCCACTCCACTGACCACTTTGGGTTAGTCTCTCAGTTGCAAAGGTATGTAGCAATTTTGCATTAAGGTATATGTCATTAAGTCATTACTATGGAATTAGAGATCACTTATGTTGCTAATGTTGCTTATAAAAAAAAGCAGGTGACTTTTGCCGAGCATATAAATACATTTTTATTGCTTTTATTTCAGGCTGATCAGCTGATGTTTGCTCTACATTTTGTACGAGGAATGCACCCTGAACTTTTTCAAGAAAATGTAAGTGCTAGAGAAGAAAATCCCCAAGTATTTTGCTTAAATGTAATATGAACAGTAAATAAGTAGATAAAAAGTTTTTGTCAGTAAGTATAGGACTTACTTATATTTGTCTATAGTGTAGTTGAATTACTTCTGTAAAATCTGACTGCAGTGAAACAATATGCATAATTGACTTAATGCATTTGCTTAAGTGTGGCTGATTAACCTGAGTCAAGACATATTTAATTTTCTAAAATATCTACATGGAATGGAGAGACAAAACTATGGCTTTGTGTACTAGAAGCTGGAGACCAGAAGGAGTCGATGTAGTAGATGACAGTTCAATAGAGGAGAGTCCATTATAGGGTAAAAGGTAAAAATCAGACAATACCTTTGAAGGATGTAATGGAATTTGATTATATGAAGCATAGGAGCTCAAGGTACAAGGTTTAAGAAAGGTTGGTTGAAACCTCTCGATGTTATGATTGCAATGTAGTTCTAATGCAGACATATGGATTGACAAAGTAAAATCCCACTCTTTCAGCAATGATAAAAATAAATTAATCTAGTTGGTAGAAGCATATCCTGGTTACTCTTCATTATTAGAAGTTCCCTATTTCATCTTCATTATTTCTTTTGGGCTTCTGAAAATATCTTGCTTTGTCTTTCTTAAGTTTCTAAAGTCATGATGGCAGCAACTTGCAAATAGTTTTCTGACTGATTTAAAGCTTGGCTTCTTAAGTGTTTGTAAGTACAGCCTTATGTGTTGGTTTCTATTATTTAGCATGCATTTCCATCAGCTGTTAGAGCTCTTAGAGAGCTTAATCTAGTTTATATATAATGCCCATTTCTACACTGAGTACTCAAGGATGAAACCAGGCAAATAATATCAGTAATTTCTTACTTCTCTGAAAGGTAGAAGTTATTTTAATTAAATTGTTAAGAGAAGAGTGCTTGTGCAAAATATTTAGTTAGGAAAATGAAGCTGAAATGGTTATTCTTTTAAAGTTATTTCTTTTAAAGCTTTTAATGTGATGAGACTAGAATTTGATTATTATGCTGCTAGAGAATTTAGTGTTCTAAGTCCCTCTCCCAAAAGAGTTCAACCTTCTGCAGTTTTGAATTTTTTGCATAGTGATGAGGATTTTATAGTACAACTAAAACAGTATATTATAGAATGCCTTGGGTTTTAGTAGAAACATTCTCTTTTTGAATCAATACGTATAGATTTTTCTGTGGTAGTTTATGTGCCTCTGCAGATTATACTTTTGCTTTTCTTCATAAAAATATTACATAATTTTTGGTTTTAAAAATACTTCATGTATTTTTCTGTGCACAAGCATTTTCTTTGTCATTGGGAGAGGAACTTCAGTTTGTAACTGAAAGAGAGAGCTGTTTCAAGACTCAACTAGATGGGTGTAAAAAACTATTCTGTGGTTTGTATCAGTAGTACTACTACTAGTCAAAAACCTTTATCACAGAATTATAGATTCTGATTATACAAAAATTTCGATACTTATGAAAAAATTTTAGTATATTTCTTGCCACCTCCAAATAGAGCATTATGTATTTTGTGGTGTTTTTAAATAATTACCTAATCTGTCTTAAAATGATTAAAAGCTGCCGTCCTGGATACATATACCAATTCTAAAAGATTTAATCATATATAAATTTAACTTAACGTTTCTCTTTTTAGTGCAACCAAAGTATTTGTAATGTCATTCTATTATATTAAGTATGCCCCCTGTTCTAAAACCTGCCATCTGCTGGATACTGTAACATGAAACACTGTTGAATCATAGATTCTGTAGCTATGTCTTGTATGTGGGCTGCTGATGCCCTGTCAGGCCCTGTCCTTGCCAGCAACATTTGTTACTTCTTGGTAGTTGATAGTTAGTCTATAGGGTGGGAGCTGTGGGTGCTTAGAAGGTATAGGACTTCCCCTCTGCTTCTTTATCTTGTAAAGCACTGCAGTCACTTAGCCTGGATTCTGCAAAGGGAATTAGCATTTTTAAAATGTCTTAGAACTCTTTCAGAATCTAGGATTTAATTTGTTTATCATCCTGGTGCATTACATAACAACCTTTATTCTTAAAGATATCTTGTGACTGATCTGAGTTATTATTTATTCCCCTAGGAATGGGAGACTTTTACAGGTGTGATCATTGGAGATACCATAAGAAAATCAGTAAGCTACATTTATTTGCATATTTTGAAATAAGGAATATTTACTTTAATCCTAAAAAATTAAACTTGTATTTTTACTATATTGTTTAATTATTTGTATTCATATATTAAAGAAATAAGTAGCTTCTCACATAGTAGTATAAAAATATGAATTTTTAAAAACCTTTTTGTACATGGAAACTAATTTTCTAATTTACATAACTTTTTGCCTTTTTTGCTTTTCTTATTTTCTTTTTCTTTTACCAGGATTACAATTTGTAACTGTATGTTTGAGGAGGTTTTCAGCCCTCTTCTGTGACTAAAATCAACATTTCTGAATCCCTCTTTCTCTAGGAGTCATATATGAGTTGTTTTTGCGTGAATTAATGGAATTGTCCACACACTTTGCTGACTTTTACTTGCGTTTTCCTTAGTCTCTAGTTCTACATCTGGAGATGTATTTATATGTTTTCCTAGGTGACTGAGCAAGCTTAAGAAACTTTCTTTGCATGCCTGATCAAGCATGCTGTAGTTTACTAAGTGTCTCTCAGTTCTGTATACTTTTAACATAACATTCCAGTAGAAAAGACTAGAGAAAAAAGCTGAGGTTTCCATAATCTTGCCCATTATAACTCTTCTTTGAGCCAAATATTTTGGCAAAGGTTTTGAAAAATGTTTTTAGGAAACAAGACCACAATCAGGAATCATGAGCCCAGTCTTTGCCTCCTGTTTTGCTTTTCTCCACTTTTCCTTCATTCACAGTCAGGGTAGTTCATTCAGCTCACAATTCATCGTTCACAATTACTCTTAACCTATAACCTTGTTTAAATACTTATCAGGGTATCTTGTATGTTAAACGGTACAAGACTATGACCAGTGTGAGTACCTTGATTTTAGATACTCATGACAGTAGGTGTGTTCCCATGCGTGGTGGCAGAAATGGCAAGTCACTTAAAACACGATGTATTACTCAGGTTTTCTCAGGCAACTGGTTCCTGAAATGATCCTTAAAGTCCATTTTCTCTAGCCATTAGAGGACTTTACTACAGGTTTTGCATTTCAGTGTGATTGCAGAAGTTCCCCTTCATCTCTATGGAGTCTTTGTAATTCAATTAAATGTCAGTGAACTGGGTGATTGTCAAGTATTTTCTTGTGTAGGTAATTTTCAAACTATGTGAGATCTGATTGTATAATGGAATTTAATACCAGTCTTACCCACCTAACACACAACCCATAGACTTTGGAAAGACTGTGCATATGCATCCATCACCCCAATTCTAACTGGAATGTATGTTACAGACCCATCTCAAGTTTATTTCTACAGTTGCTTCTGAGTTTTCTGGTTTTGTTCTTTCTCAGACTTCATGACTCAGGGCCAAGGTATCCTTTCACAAGAAACCTGCTATTTTTTTCTGCTGAACATTTAAGATTACTTTTGAAGTTGCTCAGTGGTTGAGAAATCCAAATACATTTCCATGCAGAGACCGTCAGACTGGTTAATGAGTACTGTAAGATTTTTTAATAAAAAATCATGTAATGAATACACTGGAGCTTAAGCCGTGTTGTTCATCCTTAGAATTTTTTCCAACCCAAAAACCTAAAGAGCAGAAAAACAGAGCTGTGGCCAAACTTTATCAGTGTAGAGATGTTCAGAAGTGATGTTTTGCCTAGTGAATTACCCCAAAATTGCTCTTGCGTGAAGAACCATCTTCTTTGAGGCTGCAAATATGTGCAATGGAGTTGTTTCTTGAAGTCAGTTGCTCAGAGCGCATATGGAGATAGGCACTAATTTCTGTCAATTGTTTTTAATGAAAAACTACTTAGAATTGAGTGCATCATAAGGATACTCTAAATAATAAAGTATTTTCAGGCTCAAGTAGCTAAGCAAATCTTACTGTGAACAGTA